CATGCAATTGGAGCTATGAGTAGGTTTGTAAGAAATCCATGGAAGCAGTATTGAGAGGCCGTGAAGTGGATATTATGCAACTTAAGAGGGACTATGGATAAGCCACTATGTTTCAGGAGGAAGGAGTTGGTACTGTAAGGATAAGTGGATGTGGACTTCTCCGGTGATCATGATACGAGACGGAGCATCACGGAGTATGTTTATACATTAGCGTCGACAATAGTGAGTTAGGTTTTACGTTTGCAGAAGATTGTAACTTAGTCTACAACTAAAGCTGAGTAAGTCGCGGTGACTGAAGCAAGCAATGAGTGTTGGCCTTTTTATTTTAATGATGTTTAACAAACAATTTATTACTAATATTGTTTGTCTAGTATTTGTATTTTCTTATCTATTATAGACAAACAATATATTGGAGGTTGGATGGAATTGCACATTCACGATCATATCCAATGGAGGTTGGCGGAATAGTGGAATGAAGCAATACAATTCAAGTTGAAGATCCAAGTTCAAGCTTCATCCGCAAGTTTACCAAGTCGAGCTCATTGAATATCTTCATCAAGCTTGGGTACATAGTTTATAGTGTTTATAGTATAGGTTTATACTTGTGTGTTAATACTTCAAGCTCATATTAATCACGCGCGCGCGCGCGCACACACACACACACACACACATATTTTTTTGATTTTATCAAAATATAGGTGTTTTTGTAAAAATGTTGGTTTATTAGTTTATAGACTTCAATATCACTTTATACATATTTTTATTAAGTCTATAAAATCATTTTGTATAGTTTCAAAACATGATTTAGCTAAAATGTCAAAACAAGTGTTGTTCATTTTCATGTTTTGGATTATTTTGAAAAATGATGAGATTTCTCGGGAGGTGATTTTTGAAAACCAGTTTTTATAACATGTGTATTATCATGTCTATAATCATTTTCTAAAGTTTCATAATTTTTGGAATTTGTTTGTTATTTTTAAAGGCAGTTTAAAAATCAGATTTACTATTGTAATCAGGCTGATACAGTGTTATCAATCGACTGATGAATGTGTTCAGTCGACTGAAGAAATCGTCTGGAATAACAAAAAGTTTCTATTTTGTTTCGGTCGACTGATGAGGTCATCAGTCGACTGATAAGGTCGTCAGTCGACTGATGAGCTGGAAAATGTCTCTAACGGTCAGCTCATCAGTCGACTGATGAAACCCGTCAGTCGACTGATGCTGTAACGGCTAGTTTTTTCCAGTCTGTTCCAGTTTTGAGTTTTTTAGTCTTTTTGCTTTGTTTTTCTTGTGTTTTGGGATCTCTATAAATAGCCCTCATACCTCAGACCAAAAACCAATCAAGAAAGTTTTTAAACAAGTTTAAATGTTGCTTAAGTTTGTTTTGGTGTTTGTTTTAAGTTTGGTTTTGTGAAGCAATTTTCACAAGAGAGAGGAGATCACCATTTGCGTTTGAGCTTCAACTCTTCTCTCTCTCCCTCTTGTTATCTATAGAGAAGTTTTTCTAAACTCTATTTCTAGCTATTTATTGTTTTGTTCATAATTTCCATAAGCTAGAATATCTATTTGAGTTTAGATTTGTTTTGATTATACTTTTTGTTCACACACAATCTCTTGAGCTTATTGTATTTACATTCATAGTATAATTTGGGGTTGTGGGTTTGTGACATTGAGAGTGAGCTTATATTGTGTTCTCATTTATTATAGAGAATAATTTATTTGTATTGAGAGCTATTATTGTGAGGTTCACTTTGTATTACATTAGTACACCGAAAAGAGTGTGTGGTGAGAGACGAGATCGTCCCAAGAGGAGTGGGGTAGGTGGTAATACCTAGAGAGAGGTTGTAATTCCTAACACTTGAGGGAGACATGAGCTAGAGACCAACACTTGAGGTGGTAGTTAGTGTGTTTACATTGTGAGTGATTGTAAAGTTTTCGGTGAGCTAGAAAACCGAGTGTGAGGTGTAAACGTTATTCGGGTGAGCGTAGAAAACCCGGTTGTGATAGTGGAGATCTCCTCGATGTGAGGAGCGGAGACGTAGGTCGTGGGGACCAAACTCTGTGATCATATCGTTTGTTTGCGTTTGTCATTGGCATTCCTTTATATTCGTACTTATCATTTATATCGTCTTTGTCAATTGCTTGTTGTTTATATTGCCCTATCACTTTAGTAGTTTGTTTACCCTTGTGTTACTTGTATATCCTTGCACATATATCTTGTTGCATATCATATTTGCTAGGCTATATTTATTAATAGTTTTTAATTTGGTATAAAATCGGATTAGATTAGCATAAACTCTACTCACCGCCCTCTATGGTTCTTTCCTAGTGGCACTAGGGTGTTTTTAAGGAGATGATTTGGTTGAACGGGTTCCTAGAAGAGTTAGATCTGAAGCAAATGAGAGGAGTTCTTTGTTGTGACAGCCAGAGTGTTATACATCTTGCCAAGAATCTAGTATATCATGCCAGAACAGAGCACATTGATGTACGATACCATTTTATATGCTCGCTGATTGAGGACAGGAAGTTACATCTAGAAAAGATTTTGGGGAGTCAAAATCATGCGGTTATGTTGACGAAAACAGTGACCATTGACAAACTGGAGTTGTGCGCAACTTCAGTTGGTCTTCACGTGTAGGAGATGAAGGTGGAGCCACACCAAGAGGATCGGCAGGATCGCCGGGTTGATGATGATTGAAGAATGGATTTTTCGCGTGTAGGAGGATGCTTGCGAAGAAGGGAGAGTTCGGGTGAGCTCGTTGATTATGCTTTGGTCTCCAAGTGGAAGATTGTTAGTCTTAGGGATGTACTCACTCAAAACTGGAATCAAACAAATTGTTAGATAGCAGGTTTCCTAATCTGTTTTGGTAACATGATTTTTAATTTGTTTTGGTAACAGGTTATTAGGATTCCTAATCTGTTTTGTTTTTTGTTTTAGAATTCCTAGTCTGTTTTGGTTTTAGGTTTTCTATATATATGGAGCTTAGAAGAGATTAAACATCAAAAAAGAGGGTTTTAAGAGAATTCTTCAGAGAGATCTCAGAGAGATTAGATCCTATTTGTAGGCATTGTAATCTTCTTCAATATTAATCAAAGAATTGTGTGTTGTGGCTCCTGATGACGTAGGCACGATTGCCGAACCTCGTTAAATCTAGTGTATTCTTTCTTGTTAACTTTTCCTGTAAGTTTTTTATCTTTTATTTGCTGTGATTTTTCCTACTTTCCTACTCTCAAACACAAGGTTCGGAAGGGCAATGATTCGATTTGATTGTTTCGAATCCCCAACAGGCTTTTGGGATAAAAACTATGATTGAGTTTATTTTGCAAATTTCTCCCTCCTGTTAAAAAGGTTGTGTTAGTCAAATCACTCAGCTATAATTCTAATTGAGCTAGACTCTACAAATTTCTCTTGTACTATTATTCACAAAAGTCTAGAGTTTGTCTTACTTAGATTATCATCAAGTTTGATGAGTCATTAAGAACCCCACAAGTTTGGGTGTGGTAGTCTCATAGTAGTTTGAAAAAGTGTAGCATAGTTACTAAAGTACACTCTTCAAACTACTTTACACTATTACTAACAAAAGTATGGAATCCATCTTTCGTAGATTGTCAATTTTGACAAGTCATCAAAGGCCTCACTAGTTTAGGTATAGCAATTTGATAGTTGTTTGAAAATGTATAGTGTAATTATCACTGTTTGTCACTCAAAATTGGATCTTGATTAGTCTTGCCTTAGTTCTATCCTAAATCAGTTTGAATTAGGCGGTGGGGATGATTGTTCAACAAAGAACTGATTTTAAGGTCTCTTTTTGGCCTAAGAAAAACTAGGCTAGTAGCAGCCTAAGTTTTGCCAAACAAGAAATAACCTAAAACTAGGTCAAGTTCACCTCTGACATAGTTTCAAGGGGTTGTCAAACATACTCGAAGACAAAAACCTTCAGCCCAATTATATTGATTGTGTGAAAAATATGTAAAGGAAAACTCCTGTTACAACTCCAACCTTTACACATCAAACATCATTAAACTACAAACAAGTGCAAGCAGAAACGGTTAATTGTGAACAGACCCCTATAGTATCATCCAATTGCATAGAGACCCTTGTAGTTCTATTTGTTGCCAATATACCCTATGTTAGTTCTACTTGTTGCGAATAGACCCCTTATTGTATTGGCCCAAGTGCGAATATACCCACTTAGTGAACTTTTTCCAACTCCTTTAAAAGTCAAAAAACAAAAAAAGAAAAGAAAAAAGCAATTAGGGTCTATCCTCACCCATAGAACTAACAGGGATGTATCTACCTCCTCAAAATTTTAAATGATTTTAAGAGTGAAAAAAAATCACTCAAGGGGTCTATTTGTAACAAATAAAACTATAGGACGTCTATTTGCGATAAATAGAACTATAGAGGTTGTCCTTGCAATTGGGTGATACTATAGGGGGTTCGTTCGCAATTAACCCAACAGAAAAATGCATCTCCTTCTAATAATAAGAAAGTGATTAATGGTCAAGATACTAGAATTCAGGGAAGCTATGACGTTACAGTACCACAAACTGTAACCGGTTCTTGCTAATTAAGTGCAAGAATTTTTAATATGCATGGTTCAGTGAAAAATAAAATAAAAATTAACCTGCTATCTCATAAGCTGATATCTCACCGTGTGATTGTGATTTTATGAAGCCTTCACCACTAGCAGCAATTATACGTTATACGCACCATAACTCGATAAGTGACATTAGCATAGTCAAACTGTATTGCGCCTAGTCAGGAAAAAAAAATACGAGTAATGGATTTAGGTCAAGTTTTATGACACTCAATCAGCTCTCGATGAATTCGGTTCAAATAGTTCATTCTGAGCATGTATAAGATGTCAGAGCAACGGACGCAGGAATGAGGTCCATATGGTGAGTCAAAAGAAAAAACATCGATGAATAAACCTGCAATTAGGAAAGAAAAAGAATGTAAAATATTCATTTAATCGATGTCTCACGAGTCACGACTATACAAAAGGCAGAATCGGACCTCACAATTTGTGAGAACCGGTGATCATATAACCAAATTCATAGCTGCCACCGTCGCTGAAGGTTGTTGTACAACAAAACTCTATATTGGAACATACACTAATCCTGAACATCACTTGTTTTCTGCCGCTCTCTAAATGTTGCATCGATCGTAATCAGCAAACCAAGAGTAGGGCTCAGTTCCTCTTGAAAACTCGCTGTCTCCTTGACCAAAAGGTGCAAACTCTTCTCTCCACTGCTGATCACCTAAGCTCTCTCCTCCATCGTATTTTGTTGCATCAGTATCACTAATTGCAGGTTTCAATGCTTCTTTTGGCAGACGTGACTCAGCAAGGAACTGATTCAACGTAACAATCTGCTGGTCGTAGTTTTTCTTCAACTTGTCAATCTCTTGATAGGCCTTCTCAGTCTCTAGCTCTGCCTTCGCTGCTCGCTTCTGCTTGAAAGAAAGAAGAGAGAGTGATATGTGAAACTATCAACATAAAAATAAATAAGTAAATAAATAGGGCCTCAAGGAGTGTGGAGTTGTGCAATCTTCAACTTGTTTAAGAAACCATATTCGATTTGCTTTTGGTGCAAGGAAGTAACCATATTAGCTTTCAGCTTCAAGGTAAAATTATATCTATCGTAAATAGGACCGTCAAAACTGAGAAAGTACAAAACTGGAAGATAATAAGGAGAGGCTCTGATAATAATATGTTGCTTTCTCGTGACTGATATCATATATTTGTCCAAATCATGAATTTATTAAAATTGACAAAAGCAGAAGACGACAACTAAAAGATCTAAATATATGAGTTTTAACAAACTTTCAAATTTTAGATTTACAATACTCCCCCCTGTCTACGGACTTAAGTTATAGGTGCAATAAAGAGCCCAATTCTTCCATATTTTCCAAATTACCATCCAAATCTTGGTATTTGCAAAATTACCCCCAACTCTTTCACAATGACTTTTTTCTACCCCTTTCACTTAACAATATTAGTTTCTAAATGGGAAATTATTGGAAACCTATTGGAATTATTGGAAATTTTGACATTGCCTTGTTTAAAAGCCAACATTCTTAAGTTGAAGCGGTAGAAAGACCCATCATACTAGTTTTGAGGCTGATTTTGCAAATATCAAGATTTGAGGTGTACTTTTACAAATATTGAAGATTTGAGGGGTGTATATATGCAAAAACCCCTATTTATTTATTGAACATTAAACACTGAGTGACACTCTACTCCCTCTGCCTAGACGGAGAGAATTTTCCAGAGATATAGTGGAGCCAACCTCTATTCTTATCAATGCATTTCCTATCAAAAGACCCCACTTGAACCATGTAGGAGGCAGTTAAATATTTGAACTGTCCCCATACATGACATCTCCACCGCTCAGAACGTCCCGCACGACGTGGGTCGTTCCAAGTCATCAGATTATATCCGCACTCTAGTATGGTGACCGCCTCTTTGAGCAAGTAAAGACGTCTTTTTCTCTAAGACTGAAATAATATGTTTTTAAAACTAAACTTCGGACATGAAGAAAACTTTAAAACCACCTAAATTTTCATGTTGATAAACTAATTTGGATATGTTCAACAAGATGTATGCAGACGAGTTGTTATGGAATTCACAAAAGTTCTCACGAAGAAGTTAATGTTCTAAAATTTTCATATACATACATTCCTGCATATTCATAAGAGTTTAACATTGACCCACAAAAATACGTGACAGACATCAATGTATGACGATACAAATCCTTCATTGTGGTTTGTATTGCATTGCTTGTTCATCCTCTTATTAATACTAGTATAGTGCACGTGCTTTACACGTGGGCATACTTGTGAAATAATTAGTAATATCTTTTTTATCTACTAGTATAGTGCACGTGCTTTACACGTGGGCATACTTGTGAAATAATTAGTAATATCTTTTTTATCAAAATGAAAATCAAAATGCTTTACACGTGGGCATACTTGTGAAATAATTAGTAATATCTTTTTTATCAAAATGAAAATCAAAATTTTATAGCTAATATTAATAAATATGATATTTCGGTAGTTATTCTTTTAATAAATCTTAAATACTTTTTTAGATGACACTTGGTTCTTGCTAGGAAGTTCAGACAAAAAGCCTAAACCTGATGCTCGCGATGCCCATTAATCCTCAAGTTACGAAAAGAGAAATTTTAGTGTCCTATAGTTACGAAGAGACATATGCATTATTGAAAGATGCATTTTATGCTATCAAAGATTAAAAAAAAAAGATAAGTCTTTTATCTTTTGTGTCGTCAACAATATTAGTTTGACTTGAAGGGTTCATGCATCTTCCGATAAATATAATATAATATGTTTAATTATATAAAATTGAATTTTTTGTAGACTATTTTTGTAATTTGTTTAAAATTTATTTTAAAATGTTTTTTATGAACTATTATTTTATATGTTATATTATTATTTATCAATGTATGTTTTTTATTTGTCGTAACACAATCATATTATATAATTTATATATATGTATGTGTATATAACCATCAAATTTATATACACTCAATTTTATAAAACTAACACACAAATTTAAAAATAATTGCAAAAGAAGAAAACAAATAAGGGAAGAATCTTGAATTGAGTAACTTATGCTTTGACTTTTATAATAAAAAACTTATGCATTATGTTAGATTAAGTCTATTGGGTATTGGGTTAATGGGCTGTGACCCGTTAACCATACCCCTATTTGTATGACTATATATATATCTCTCTAGTATCTGAATAAATCAATGAAGTTAGGGTTTTTGCTCTCTCAATTATCTCTTTCTACATGGTATCAGAGCTTGAAACCCTAGCCGCCACAAATCCTCATTCAAAAACCCTAGCCGCCGCCGCCTCTTCTCCTTGCCGCCGGCACTACCGCCACCACTAGCCGTGCCGCTACAGTAACCGCGCCGCTACAGTAACCGCGCCGCTACAGTAACCGCGCGCCGCTACAGTAACCGCGCCGCTACAGTAACCGCGCCGCTACAGTGCCGCGCCGTTTGTTTTGTTCCTTTTTTTTCCATGGCCTTGAATAGGTGATTCGAGGCCACACATGACCCGATCCGGTCATCTACTACTGTCTATTTTTTTGATCTTATTTTTTTTGATCTGCTATTAGTCTATGTTTAAAGAACAGATCTCTACTACTGCCCTGATTATTTGACTACTATCTGCCTACCACTATTGTGCAACAATGTCGGAAACAGATCTCTCCTCCTCTTCTACATCTCCCTCTGCTGCTGCTGGTCAGACTTCTGCGCCCAAGGTAGTCTTGGGGACTACAATAAAATTGAATGGTACAAACTATCTACTCTGGGCTCAGGCTTTCCGCATCTTCATTGGCCACCATCTGATCCCACCTACAACTCATGGCTCTCCTCTGATTACTGTGTTATGACTTGGCTTCTCAACAGTTTGGATGCACAGATCAGTAGCAGTGTTATGTTTTTAACCACTGCAAAGGAAATGTGGGACAGCCTGAAGATTATGTACGGGAATGAGAAGAATGTTTCCCGTGTTTTTGAGATTTATGAGAGACTATTTGCGATCAAACAGGGCGATAAGACAGTTCCAGAGTTCTTTGGTGAGTTGAAGGGACTGATAGACGAACTAGAAATGCATCAGCCTGCAGTAGCTGATGCGGCGACATTGTTGGGGTATCGCCGCGATCTGGCTGTCTCCAAGTTTCTTTCTGGACTGCACCCTAATTTACAGTCTCAGGTACGGGGACAAATATTGGGTGGCGATTCGATTCCCTCCCTGACTGCTACATTCTCCAGAGTCATGCAGGTCTCTACTGGTGTTTCTTCTGATACTTCTGCACCGTCTCCACCTTCGTTGGATCAGTCTGCCATGTTCTCTAGTAGAGGCAGAGGCCGCGGTCGTGGTCGTGATTCTTTGGGAGGACGTGGCTCTTTTAGTGGGAGACAGGGTGATTCTGATAGGGGTTCACGTCAGTGTGGTCATTGTGGGAGGACCAATCATATTTCTGAGAAATGCTGGGAGAAGTTTGGTCGTCCTTAATGGGCCCAAGTAGCCGATGCCGAGTCGACTCGCTCACCTATTTCTACTACTATTTCTAGTAATCCAGCTACTACTGTTCAGATTTCTCAGGCAGATTATGAGAGGTTACGCCAGCTAGAGATCTCTCAGAACAGTCATTCGGCTACTCATGCATCCTCTTCAGGTATGGATGCTTACATAGCTTCTCCTCATGAACCATGGGTACTAGATTCTGGAGCCTCATCCCATATGACAGGTATAAAGGATCGTTTTGTCTCTTTACATCTTTCTGATAAGCTTCCCTCTATTCGCATCGCTGATGGTACACTTTCTCCAGTTCTTGGTGCTGGAGTAGTTCATGCTACTTCCTCTTTGAAACTCACTGATGTGTTATATGCTCCTAAATTCCCTGTTAGCTTATTATCCATTAGCAAGTTTACAAAGCACAATAACTGTAAAGTCACCTTCTTTCCTTCTTATTGTGTTTTTCAGGACCTAGCAACTGGGATGACGATTGGTTCGGGGCATGAGAGAGGAGGTATGTACTATTTGGACGACAGTGTGCCGGGTGCTGGTCTTGTTGCAGCACAGCCTGATTCTACCTTACTGTGGCACTGGCGTCTGGGTCATCCTTCACTACAGAAACTTAGATCGGTAGTTACTGTTCAGTCTTCCCTTTCTTCTTTAGGTTGTGAGTCATGTGAACTGGGTAAGCACCATCGTGCTTCTTTTCAGAGTCGTGTCGATAAACGCAGTAGTTTTGCGTTTGAGTTAGTTCATTCTGATGTCTGGGGTCCTTGTCGTGTTCCCTCTGTGAAGGGTTTTCGATATTTCATTGTTTTTGTTGATGATTTCTCTCGCATGACTTGGCTATATTTGTTGAAAGAGAGGTCTGAAGTCTCGCATGTTATTGAACTTTTTTATAATGAAATAAAAACCCAGTTCTCTACTTCTGTTCATATTCTTCGTACTGATAATGCTTTGGAATATATGAAAAATGACGTTTTAAAATTTTGTGCTCTTAATGGTATTATTCATCAAACTTCATGCTCTCACACTTCACAACAAAATGGAGTTGCTGAGAGGAAGCATAGACATATTCTCGATGTTGCTAGAACACTGATGATACATATGAATATTCCAAAGTACTTGTGGTCGGATGCTGTCCTCACTGCCTGTTATTTGATTAATCGCATGCCTTCCTCTGTTCTTGATGGTTTGATACCATTCCACTGTCTTTATCCTGCTAAAAAACGTTTTTCTGTGATTCCTCGAGTTTTTGGTTGTACGTGTTTTGTTCAGGATTTGACTGCTGGTTTGGATAAATTGTCTCCTAGGTCCATTAAGTGTGTGTTTGTTGGATACTCACGTACTCAAAAAGGGTATAGGTGCTATCATCCGACCACCAGGAGATATTTTGTTTCTGCTGATGTTACCTTTTTTGAGTCTGTCCCATATTTTTCCTCTGGTTCCACTACCTCTGTTAGTCCACAGGTGCCACTACCTTCTACGGCTCCCACTACTATTCCGGTATCTGCTCCTGAGGCTACTGCACCAAAGCCTCTACTGACATACTCTCGCCGTCCTAAAGTACATACACCTGTCTCTGCTCCTGCTGACTCTTCTTCTCCAGCTGCAGGTCCATCTCATGTCGAGCCTCATATCTCTTCTGACTTAGATGTTCCTATTGCTCTTCGTAAAGGTAAACGGTCTTGCCCAAAATATCCTATCTCTCTTTTTGTCTCTTATGACCGTCTCACCTCATCATTTCGTCAGTTTGCTTTGTCATTGTCCACTATATCTTTACCCAGGTCACATGAGGAAGCTTTGTTAGTACCCGCCTGGAAACAGGCTATGGATGAGGAGATGAATGCACTGCTTTCTAGAGGGACTTGGGATTTGGTCTCTCTACCTGCTGGAGCGACTGTGGTTGGCTGCAGATGGGTGTATACCTTGAAATATCATCCTGATGGGTCTGTTGATAGATATAAAGCTCGCCTGGTTGCTAAAGGATATACCCAGACATATGGTATTGACTATTTTGAAACATTTTCTCCCGTTGCTCGTCTCAACTCCATCAGAATTCTTCTCACTGGCTGTTAATATGGATTGGGCGATGCACCAACTAGATGTGAAGAATGCTTTCCTTTATGGTGATTTGGACGAGGAGGTTTATATGGAGCAACCTCCTGGGTATGTTGCTGCTGAGAAAGGTCATCTATGGGTTAAAGCAGAGTCCTCGAGCTTGGTTTGATAAGTTCAGCAAGGTTATTTCTAATGTTGGTTTTCAACGTTGTCAGTCTGATCACTCTGTCTTTCTTCGACGCACAACAACTGGTTTGGTTATTTTAGCCGTATATATTGATGATATTCTGCTGTCTGGGAGTGACTCTGTTGCCTTAGCTGAGACTAAGGAGTATCTAAACCGTCATTTTGTCACTAAGGACATGGGAAAGCCAAAGTATTTTCTTGGGATTGAAGTTGCATATAAAAAACATGGTCTGTTGTTGTCTCAAAGGAAGTATGTGCTAGATTTACTAGAAGAAGCAGGTCTCTTGGACTGCAAACCTGCAAGCACTCCAATGGAGGCAAATGTTGATTTGTGGCGTGATGATACCTCTCTACTAGATGATGCTGCACGATATAGGAGACTAATTGGGAAGCTAATATATTTAACAGTTACCAGACCTGATATTACTTTTGCAGTAGGTGTGCTGAGTAGATTTATGCACAAACCTAGAGAGGTTCATTGGACAGCAGCTCTGAAGATTTTGGCATATGTCAAAAGTTGTCCTGACAAGGGATTGTTATATAAGAAGCATGGGCATACTCACATTTCGGTTTTCTCTGATGCTGGCTACGCAGGAGACATGGGAGACCGAAAATCAACCTCAGGATTTTGTACTTTTGTTGGAGGTAATCTTGTGACTTGGAGAAGTAAGAAACAAGATGTAGTATCACGATCTAGTGCAGAGGCCGAATATAGAGCAATGGCTCACACTGCTTGTGAGATGGTGTGGCTAAGAAAGTTTATGACAGAACTTGGTTTTGTTCAGTCTGGACCCATGCCAATGCATTATGACAACCAGTCTGCCATTTATATTGCACAGAATCCTGTGTTTCATGAGAGGACAAAACATATTGAAGTTGACTGTAATTTTGTCAGAGATGCTTGGGAGAAGAAGATAGTATCTCTCACATTCACTCCGTCCTCACAACAACTTGCTGATATTCTTACCAAGGCTACTTCTTCAAAGGTGTTTTCTACTATATGTGACAAGCTGGGCATGGTGGATATTTATGCTCCAGCTTGAGGGGGAGTGTTAGATTAAGTCTATTGGGTATTGGGTTAATGGGCTGTGACCCGTTAACCATACCCCTATTTGTATGACTATATATATATCTCTCTAGTATCTGAATAAATCAATGAAGTTAGGGTTTTTGCTCTCTCAATTATCTCTTTCTACACATTACAATTCCTAATAAAAGATTTATGCATTGAATTAATGCCAATGGATGAGGGATAATGGATCATTAATTAAGTGAATTAAGGAATTATCAAGCATAGGAATTATAAATATTAAGAGGGGCAAAATAGAAAGTCAAAAGTTTTGACACCCATATTCTTTTTTATAAGTAGTATAGATTACTATCAAATTTTTGTCATCCGCACATAGGTAAATGGCATTACTTATGTTACAATAGTCATTTTTACTCAGAACTTTTTTTTCCAATCCGTTAGAATGAGCAGTGTTTCTAAATCCAGGATGGTAAAACATGTTTTCCTAATTTACTATCAATTAACTAACTCTAATGTAACAGAACATTGTCACTAGTTTTCTTTGACCAGAACTGGACAATGAAAAGAGCATTGGCAGTGGGCACCCATTCATGAATTTTAGGAACTTGAGATCTTCGCAATCCGCTCCTATTAACAAAAGAAAAACTCCTAACAAAAACCAAAAATAAAAATATCACCTATCTGATATGGGTTAGCTATGGGAAATGGGAAAATTTGGGGGTGACTCCATATCGAGCTTGAATATGAACCAGACATGGGTATTCCATATCCAAACATGAACCCAAGGCCAGGTGGAAGATATGGATAAAGATCGTTCTATAAACTAATTGAATGTTGCATTGGATCCTAATTAATTTTGTAATTTTTCAGCTATCTTATATTCTTAATCATTGTTCTATAGCTGTGATTAAACTATTATTAGTTAAAAAAAGCTGAAATAGAATAGGTAACGATAATAGTTGCAATAAGGGTTGGTGAAAGGTGCAAGGCTTTCCTCGTATTAAGACGAAGTCCCCATATCCAGGGGAGAGGTAGGGAGTTGTTAAAAAACGAATGACTAATTGCAGAGACAAACATGTACCTGAGCCGTAGCAGCAGCTTCTTCTGCTTCCTTCAGCCGCACAAGCAGTTCGCCAGCAGCCTGTACAGCTTCGGCAGTATCTCTGAGTTGAGACTGAAGGCCTTTCTTTTCATCCCTCCAGTAACGCCTCTCCTTTTCTCTCTCTGCTTTTAAAGCCGAAATTTCAGCAGCAAGGGATTTTATGAACTTAGATTCTGCACCCTTAACCCCTGCTCTTGTCGCTGCTTTTCTCACATCCTCAATCCCATCCATCATTTGGCGATGTCTTCCGTGCAAATCAATATGCTTCTCTTGGAGATCAGCATACTGCTCCAGAATCCTGGCATGACCTTGCATGGCCGTCTGTAAAGCCTCCTTAAGCTCCTCTGTGCATTTCTTCTCGGAATCAAGTTCAAGTTTCCTCTTCTCAGCTAGAGATCTATTAGTTTCAAGCTCAACTCTAAGCTCTTCTGAGAGAGATATCCACTTGCTCTCTGCTTCAGTCCAACGACGCCTCTCTTCTTCAAGTTTTTCATCAATGCGTTCTCCCGATGACTCAGGAATTGTACTGAGAGAAGCCGAAATGGGTTCAACAGAATGGGTCAACTGTCGCAAAGGACTTCGATTATGAATCGATATTGAAGAAGAATCTATATAGTACTGCAATTGGCACTTTAGATCTTGAATTTCTTCCACTAGCACATCCCTTTCACCCATATCAAAGAAATTCCTATATCCTTCTAGTTCTTCTTGAACTCTTTTTAGTTCAATATTCAATCGTAGAACTTCAGGATGACTCTCATATTTCTCTTTCAGAAACTGCAAAACAGGCAAAATAGAAAGAATCGGTTGCAAATGTTGACACTTCTTTTAAGAACTTGACAAAAACTAAAATGAAAAATATATTAACCTTGTGCTCATTTGTTAATGAAATAAACTCTTCTTCCATAAAATCTTCAGCAGTTAAGATGCCATCCATGAGACTCTCCAAACGAGAGATTTTATCTTCTCGTGTCTGCTCAATTACTGCGCTGCATTCACGCTCATGCTTGTATTGTTGGATCTGCAAGTGTCACAATGTGGCAGTAAACAAAGGTGCAAAACATAAATATTTAGTTGGAAACAAATAAGTTGCAGAAAAACAATTACCAGACGATGTAGCTGCAGAATTTCAGCAGCCTGTTTTGCGCAGTGGTCTTCCAGTGCCATTTCTCGCCTGATAGCTCCAGCCAAAACCTTCTCTACTGCCTGTAGGAAAAGCATTTTTAGAACTTTGCAGCATGTTAATTTATGTCAATACTCAAAGTTTATCAAGAAAATCAACAAAATAAATAAGAAAATAGTAAGAAATAGAAACAATCAAGTGTCCAATTTGGAACATACTTTAGGTATTTGAATTTTGCATTTATCTGCTGATGGAGATGCATCTATAGGTACTAGCTGCAATTCCCTGTCATCACTGACAGCATTGTATTCAAGTGGAGGCGGTTTGTTCTTGCAATAACTACATATATATGTCGATGGTTCCCCCAAAATTTCAGCTTCTTCAGGAAGGGTTTGTACACTGACATCAACCTTGGCAATAGGCATTAAATGGTTGAGGTCAATGGGTTTGGTTGAGAACCTGAAACCTGATTGCCTTACACTGTACCGATGGTTGTCAATAATTTGAAGACCGCGGTGGAGGCTTGCTTCAAGGTGTTCAGTTGGTGAAAGGGAGTTTGTATTTGTCTGAACTAGAGGAACACCGGAAGCACTACTTTTGGGAATATCAGCAAAAGATAAATTTAAAACTCCTGAATCAGACTTTGGGTCTAACAGTATATTTCCCTTAGAAGCTGAAGTTGAAGATGACGTCCTCAGACTTTTCCTGCTAGAATTCTCAAAACTAGGCGAAATGCTCAACGGAGGTGACTGGAGAACTGTGGGTGTCTGATATGGCACAATGCTAAGGCTGGATGGAGAAATGCAGTCCAGAGATCTGCCAGAACGCGGCTGAATTTCCTTGGTGTGACCACGCTCCTTCCCATCAGCTGAGACTGGCCCTCTTGCAATTTCCTCAACATCAGAGCCTATTTTATTGTCTTCTCCAGTTATTTTTTGTGGTGTGTCACAGATCTTTTGATCAACACTCATTGTTTCGGGAACTTGGTCATTAGTATTGGTAGGTCCAGCTATATCCATAGAGCTAATTCCATTTTCTTTACTAGCCTTCTCGACATCTTCATCAACAATTTCCATCTCTTCATCACTGTCATCTTCAGCAACAGGCAACACTCTAGGACAGTTCAGGCTCATTCTTAAAAGGCTTAAGCTTCGACGTGCATTCCATCCTGTCGAATAACTTCCATTACTTTCTGGTGAGGCCCCAGTTGATTTCATTCGAAGAAGTTCATCCTGTTGATGACATACATCATTTAGAAGATAGTTAAAGAGTAAATACAAGAGTAATCAAACAATAAACGATAAGATTACCTTCAGTTGACGTATCTGCTCCCTTAAGACATTAACATCATCCTGTGTTACCTCGTTTACAACTGCTTTATTTTTAATGGCTTTTGCTCTTTGTGCAAATCTCAAGGTACTGAAGGTTTCATTCTTACAGCTGTTTCATGAGGAATTTCATATTTAAAAATGGATATGAGGACAGATGGGAAAGAAAAAAGAAACTGAGAATGTTCGCAGCTTCAAGAAATTGCTCTACATTATGCATACCTCTGTGATGGTGAAATAGCACATATCATTGCTAGCTTTGCGTTGCCGCCAAGAGATTCTTGTAGCAAAAATGTTAGCCTGGAGTCACGGTAGGGAATATGCCTTGGTTTACCAGACTGAGAAACTTCTGCTAGAATATTAATTAAATTCCTGCAGCTCAGAGAATTTTCTATGAGATTTTCCACATCTAATGTAATGCATGACGTATGTCTGAGATATTAATTTTACTGTGAATTCCAGATCCATGAAAACTATTCAGTGCTTGATTGCAGGATATGCATATTTTTTTTAAACTTTGAGTTTGAGCTTTCAATTCATAATACACAGTTATAAAACGTGAAATACAAGAAAACCTGGCATATAATCCCTGAACTGCCAAAAGTGAAGATTAAAATTCATGTGATAACATTAGGGTGTTTAGCTATTAATAATCAATTATTCACATAACTGCAAAATGCAGATGAAGCTTCTCCAGAAGATTAAACTATTAAATTAATCACAAATATGAATCAGGTCAAAATTGTGAGTGTTTGACTGGGGTTACAACATTCTGTGACCATTAAGGTAACTGTATGAATGTTTTAAGTGAACAAGAGTCAAGAACTAAATAAAAAATAAATTCATACCTGAAGTTGCAACCACTTTTTAGTAAGAAAAAGAAATTTAACAGAACATATATTCTGACAACTGGGATTTTGAAACCATTCAGACCTACATTCTACATTACATTCAATTTGACAAAATCTTTATAGGATAATGCTGTTGCTAAACAATGAATCACTTACAAAGTGAAAAAACGATAAAAATAAATCCAATTTACTACATATCCGCCAAAAGAATAGTGATTACTAATGAAATAGATAAGATATAAACAAACAAGAACATCCTATTCCTAGATATATTTCAAAGTAAAAGGATAGGTGTAGTGTATGAAAGTTTGAAGTATAACCACCACCCAGGATGTCCAATGGACTAGCAAAATCAAGACAAGGTTCATATTTAGTTAAAAAACATTAAGAACTCGCCAGGGTACCAGAGAATATGAATCACATACATCATTAACCAGACCAGATATCAAGAATTTGATAAATGGCTAGATCATTAGAAATTAATTCAACATTTCATAATGGTCATAGAAGGTAAACGATAAACAGCATGCATTGCTGTTTGGCTGGTGCATTAGTAAAGGAAGATACTTTTCAAGTAAAGGGTGTGCTAAGCAATATATGTCAACCTCTTTTCAAGCATAAAGAGTATATAAATGACTTTCCATTTCAGGATTGTACATGTAAAGAGTTTTATTCTCTATAAGAATTAAATCATACCCAAGTTGTGAAAGTGATCGGTTGATGTTGCCTGCTTCCTTTAGACGTTCCCCTGCTGCACCTGTCATCTTTTGTCTTTCTGATCCTGCTAGGTCAACTAAGTTGATTCTACTGCTCCTTAAGTTGCTCAAGCCATCAGATGTGCTCTAGAAGATATTTAAAGGATAGTTCAGCCAGATGACATTGGGTTAGATATAAAATATAAAACCACACTTTATAAAATCTATATGTATGCTTTGTGAAAACTTAATGGTTGGCCATCTCAGTAAGGTGCCCAATATGCAGTCTGATAGGCGGTAGGAAACTTGAAGTTTGCTTGAGAAGGAGGGAAGGGGAGGGCAAATATAAATAATAATGGGTATTTTTGGCAAATAAGATGTAACAAGTCATTGATCAAATTAAAATGATAAGTATTCCTTCATGCATGTCTTTATGTTGTGCGTTCACAGAACTCCAGAAAAGAACAGGAAGTTGCATAGCTCTTCATTTAAATGGAAAGAAAGTTAAGTTACGTGGTTTCAATAACATAAGAAACATAAAAAAATAATCTCAACGTTCAAGGATTATACTTTTATGTTATAGATAAATGAGACTATATAGCACGCAGCTGCAATATCAGTCATGCAGCAAATTTTTTTAAATGTTTTTTAAGCAGAGAGATTGATCATAGAAAATAGTTCAAGAAAAGCGCTATAAAGCACAAACAATGATTAGAGAAAACCTTTGATCGAGATTCAACCACACAAGTAAATACACAATGTGAACGGGAACTCTCTGAATTTATACTTGTTGCACCAGTTCTCCTATTGGCTAAGCCCTGCAATAATTATAGATTAATAATTGGCCAGAATAGATATAATATCAAAAAAAAGCAAACAGTTTTTTATAACATGCAATCTTCGAAACTCGAGCTAATGAAACAAAAACTCAGGAAGTTATAACACAACATCAGAAACTAAAGTAGCAAATTTTCAATGATTGAAAAATTCAAAATGCTAGCAGTTAAATAAATCATTATTTGTTAGATAGTCAGGGGTTCTCCTCCAACTTCAGAGAGTTCATTTATTTGTTCATGAACTCAATTGAGGATAAGTGAACTTAAGGGTGAAGACATATTAGCATTTCTTCTTCTTTATAGAAATGAAGCATCCATCTCGTCCTCATACCTTCTACTTTGTAGTTTTCTGTATGTTTGCTATTCAATATATCACTCGTGTTGTTGTATATTGGTCGTGATCAAAACTGTTTGAATGAAGTTATCTACATGCTTAGTTTCTAATAATTAAGTTTCTATGCTTCCTCCCACTTTTATTTTTGAATTATGACACCTCTAGCTACTTCATTGTTTGCTATAATTGATATTTCTCACTTATGCTCAAGACCTCCTTGAATAAAGTTGGCAAGTTGGCATCAGCTTAGTTTTAAAGGATCATTGTCGAGTTCTGTGGCCACCATCATTCACTATCATAATGTACAGTTTAGAATACACAATTACGCATTTCTCACTTATGGTCAAGACCTCCTTGAATAAGGTTGTCGACTTGGCATCAGCTTAGCTTTAAAGGATCATCGTACAAAATTAGCAGGTGAACTCTAAGGAGAATGAGTTTAAACTTGCATACAAGTAAAACAAAATTGAGGTGTTATCTGAGTTCACGCACCTTATCCAAGAGTTTGACCACATCATTCATTGAACATACATTTTCCTCCGTTAGACAATCAACATAAATGCCAATTTTGACATCTTCTCTAATCTGGTACATAAGCACAAAAGTTAAATAAAAGAAAAGTAAGATCAGCATTCAAGAACCGACACAAATGCAACCTAATTTCACCTGAAGGTTCCCTTGCGTTGGATCCAATAAGTCAGTAATTTGCTCATTATAAATCTGCAAAATAATAAAAAGATGAATTAACAAGAGCATCTAGCGAGCAATGTACAAGAATGCAGAACTATATGAGCACACTTGCCTCCAGAAATGAACAGCGACACTGATAGGTTAGTTGTTTGTCTGAATGCTTAGCTTGCTCCTAAAATAGAACATAAACAAATTAGCTTGTATGAATTGGGAGAAAAAAACTTAAAGGACCTTAAAGGAAAGATTAAGCTCACTTCTTTTATCCGCAAAAAGAGCCTCTCAAATACACGGGGTGTTAATCCTCGCTCTTCACTCGATGAATCCTTTGCTGACAAGGCACTCGGAGGTCCCCACATTGTGTAGGTTTTCCCACTTCCAGTCTATTCAATGAAATTAAGCCAAAAAAGAACTAACTAATCTTATCAAAGAAGAATTAAATGAAAACCAACAAACCTGTTTTGACTACTGCATGTTAAATTTACCTGCCCATAAGCAAATATAGAACTATTGAATCCAGCCAAGCAATTTTCCACCAAAGGGAGCCCAACAAGTTGGAATATGTCATGCTGAAGTAGAATTAAGAAAGTCAGATGAGAACTAATTTGCCACATTTCCACTAAAACTTCAGTGAAAAGTTAAAATTTTCACCTGAGTGGAACTGGAATCAGCAACCGAATCAAATGTGAACATGTGGTCAACAATAGACACGGAATTCGGAGATATCTTCTGTGCAATTTGATCGCTCTCTTCCTCTTCCTTGTTTAAAGGCCTCATTCTCACTATCACCTAATCAAATAAAAAATCGAAGAAAACCACAAATTAAGGGAAATTACTACCAAAATCAACCTAATCCTCCATTCTAAGTTCTGTAAACTAGGGTTTTTTTTTAGCAATTCAGTCGAAATCCCCAAATTAAGTTGTACCTGAACGCCGGAATCTGATGGAACCGAAGCTGGAGATCCACCCTCGGTTAGGGTTTCCAAAGTGAGCTTCCTCTTGAGAGGATTGCCCCTAGGGTTCGACGGAGGCCTCGGAGGCAGAGGGCTTTTGCTCTTGAGCCCCAAGGGCTTGGATCGAAAGTGAGAAGAGTTGGGATCGGAGGACGGCATGGCGTTGGGATCGAGGTTCTCCTTACAGAGAGGAGATTTCTGCTTCTGAGACGATGAAGGGGTCAGTGCTGGGGTTTCTTTTCTCATCTCGAACGATGAAACCCTAGGAGAGAGAAAGAGCGAGTAAGAGAGAGAGAGAGAGCCTAGATTTTAGCCGTTAAGAGAGAGGGGCGAGATTTGAAATGGAGGATAGGAACGTCTTTTGATCTTGGTTTTTTGGGGGAAAGGGGGATTTAAATGAGAGAGCGTAGTCACATGGGGATGGGCGTCGCCGCTAGAAGTCAAAACGATAGAGACAGCTAGCGGAGTTGAATATACCGGTTGTGCTTCATAAAATAATTAGTACTTTATTGCTACAATAATTCCGTTTTTAGTTGCTGCGGTGTATTTTTTAATGGTGTGTTTGGAAGTTTAGGGGCTGTTTGTTTGCCAAAAAAAAGAAGGAAATCAAGGAATAGGAAACCTATTTCCTTAAATAATTGTTTTATGGTTGTTTGGTTGGCTAAAAAAAGAAGAAAATCAAATAATAGGAGATGAGATGAGATGAGTTGTCACAATATTATTGGATGATGTGAGTGATTTTTTAAGAAAAGTTGTTGGATGGTTGTTTGATTGGCTAAAAAAGAAGAAAATCAAAGAATAAGAAACATATTTCTTATAATAGGTCCTATTCTTGTGTTTGGTTCAATCTTAAAAATAGGAGATAAGATGAGATGAGATGAGTTGTCATTATATTATTGGATGATGTGACCCACACTTAAGGAAATCAATTTCCTTGTTTTTTTGGAGGAAATGGGTGGAGATGAAATAGAGATGAGATGGAATGAGTTGTTACAATATTATTGGATGATGTGAGTTATTTTTAAAGATGAGATGAAATGGGTTGGATGATGTGACCCATAAAAGTTGTTTGGTTTATTTTATTGGATGATATGAGATGAGTTGTTAGATGAAAATAATATTTTATTGAATGATGTGGATGAGTTGTATGATAAAAATAATATTTTATTGGATGTTGTGGGTTAGTTTTAGGGATGGAAATGGTGGAAATTGCATTTTTTTGTTTTCCAATACTCAATTTCCTTTTTTTTGGTTTTTAGGAAACCAACCAAACAGCCCCTTACTCAGGGGAGCGAAGGAAGGAAAAAAATTCCCCTTCCTTCCCTATCCCTTCATTTACACCCCAATTTAGGGTGTAAGAATTTGGGTCAAATTTTCGCTCCACTCTCCTCCTCTACCCTCCAAAATGAAACTCCCAAACAAGATTAAAATAAAATTTCTCTTCCCTTCTCCCTCTCTACCCTCCATCCAAACAGGTTATAAATGCTACATGGATTTTTTAGGTGCTACAATAATATTTTTTAATGCTACAGTATTTCTGCTGCTGGTTTTTTTAGAAAATGTTACATTATGATTTTAATATTGCTACGTTATTTCCGCCTATGCTACAGTATTATTTCTTTGAACACACTACAGTAAATTACTGTAGCATGAATAGTTATTATTGTGTTCAGCCATTATTATAAAGAAATAGAATAGATAAAGTTAGGGTTTTAAACGGCAAAAACTAAAGGCCTAAAACTGCGTATTTTTGTCAAAAAAAATTTCTAAGTTTTCTTTTTGAATTATTCATCAGATCCATTTGTATGGCCCACGATTTTTTTATTTTTATTTCAAGTATGGTTCAAAGCATCTCACATAATTACATTGGTGATTGAGAGAGAACAATTTTTTTTTGTTTTTTTTTTCAGATATAAGTTCATTAGAATTGAATTGATTTCCGTCCGTCTGAGCGAAGGACTATACAAAATTATTGAAATTTGCCTTCGTGCCCCGCCCCCGGGGCCCATCCCAAAATAAGAGAGTTGAGCCTTCTCCTCTTTTGTGTTTTTCGCTAAGGTCCCATCCGATTGAACCAAACAACAATTTTTTTTTATTTTTTATTTTTTGGTATCTGAGTAAACCTTCGTATGCAATTTTTTTTTCCCTTCTTCCTCCCTTGAAGGAGCATGGATTTCGAATCCAATCCTCTATAAACTTCAACTTCTTCACAGAAGGACTCGACCACACAGTGAGTAGGAAGGGTTCCAGTCCTAACCGGCTAGTGGAAACTTCTTAGACATAACGAATTAGGCATAGGGGTGGAAACGAACCAAATAATTAACAAATAGTTCGACAATTGTTCGAATAACTATTCGGTCATATTCGATTCAGTAGGTCATTTACCACTAAACAAATATTTTTTTGTATTCGAGTTTACTAACGTATAGAATTTAACCAGATGTATATTCTATTCGTTTGTCTACTAAATATTCGTTTAAAATTTGATCACAACTTATTATTTTAAATTTGATCACAGCTTATTATTTGTATTATTGCACATATAATGTCATATTTTTAACTCATTTACCATTTCTACTTAAGTTTTATATACTGATTTTAAGACTTAAATAATCTTAAATTTGTTTTCTAATTCATAATTTGATTTAAATATATATACATTATATATTATAAATGAATAATTTTTATTTATGAATTTTAATATTATTTGAAAATTAAATTGTTTAGTGGAATAAATATACTTTGATATTCAATAAGCATTCGTGAATATTCATGAATATTTATCAAATACCAAGTAGTTGAGTTCGAATTCGAAAAATAAGATATATGAATATTCGAGTCCGCATTCGAATTCGATAATTTTAAACAAATATAAATACAAACACTTTAGTATTCGGTTTGATTCAATCGTTTACCACCACTAATTTAGGCATATCGCAGTTCGTAACGATAATGCTTTCACTATTTTTGTCCATGCATATTTTTTAAATTTCTCAAAATATACATGTCTTCTTAGTTCTCTTTCTTCATTCTCTCTATTTGTTCTCGTTTCTCTAGTGACATATTACACAATAATCTATAAAATCTTTCACCTAGAGCGAGATGTAATGAGGTGCAAGGAAGAACATACATTTTCATACTTATTGTTAGGTTGAAGGGAAGGTGATGGAAGATATATTACTTTTTATTGTTTGTTTTAGGGAATGAGAAGGAGAGATGAGATGATGAGTTAGTTAAGGTACAATAATATACTTTTTGTAGAAGTATTTCTAGAACCATATTAACGAGACTGTACATGATTTATTAAAACAAAATAGAAAATAAAAAAAAGGAAAAAAATATTAGACTGTCTATTATTTTATCGAAGTCATAATGACGGATGGAGGGGGGGGGGGGGGGGGGATTTCAGCTTAATGCGCAAGGCTTTTACAAGATAATATTCTAAATCTTCATATATTTACTTTAGTCACCTAAATCTAATAAGTATTATGAACGTAGCCCTCTTGTTAGCATCACGTTAAAAGATTTGTGGGAATAATTTTAAAATATGAAGTTTTAGGGGGCTTTTTTTGAAATTACTTAAAAAAATTCAGGGGCCAATATGTTCAGAATTTGAAAATTTAGGGGACTAATTTCCAAATTTGTAAATTCCGGTGTCTTGATTCAAAGACCTAAAGATTTAGGGGACCAAATTTGGAAAAATAAAACTTGCGAGGATACTATAATTAATTAGGTAATGAAGAAATACTTCTGAGGATAAAAGACTAATCATAAAATAAATATCCTCAATCTATCTATGTCCCTCCAAATCAGAGAGAATTTTCTCCCTCCTCACGACCAGTTCATTTTTTGCTTTCTCTTTCTTCACCTCACTTCACTCTACGTTATTTTCTCTTCTAAATACCTCATACCAAAGTGGAACATGCTTTCCAGAAAAGCATTTTTCTATATGTTTCACCCTCGAGATTAAACCTTTCAGAAAATTGAGAGAAAGAGAGGAGCGAGCAAAGACGTACAAATGTCACCCACTTGCCCCAATTTTAATGCACATTTATTTGTTTTATTGCCTATTTCTGAGAAGAAAGCTCTGAAATAGATGTCCATCAAATTAGCCATTTTCCGGGGTTTCTAAAAGGTCTTTTTTTTTGAATTTTTCGGAAGATAAATAAGTTTTTAGTAAACATTTTTAAGAGATATGATCAATTTCAGGTTTGTGTTGGAAGGTAAATAAGTGGACAAAATTTTTAAAACGGTTCTTTTTCAAAATTAATAAGTAAAATCGACCACTTTAAAAAAATTTAGCAAAATCGACTCTTTTTACTTTTAAAGGCCGATTTTGCAAATTTTGAACTGCACGGGACGTGACTACTAGTCCCGTGCAGTTCTCCCAAAAAAAATCACCACTTCGCACTCTCTCTCCTCCCCCTCCTCACCCTCTTCTACCTCGCGTCGACACCGCCTCCGTCGGGCTCCTCGCCGATGCTGGCCTCAGCTTCTGATTTTCGTTGAAGAGAGAGAAGAGGTAGACGTCGATGTCGGTGTTGGGACCGAGGGGAGTGCTGGCCAGAGAGGACCTTGCGCGCGAGGTTGTCGTTGTAGGCGGCGGCGTTGGCCTCGCCGACACCGGTCTCATTCTTGTCGCCCTTCGAGGGCCAGTTTGACGGAGGAGCTTGATCACTGGCTTCATCACGCCCTCGGCGAGGTCGGGCTTGAACAGGCCCGATGACGAGGGGTAGGATGAGAGTTGGGGGCCAATGGAGGCTGGATGCCATGGATTCGAACTAGGGGTTCTGACGTTTGCTGCTGGTAGGATGATGGGATTTTTTGATAGGATGATGGATGCATTTTTTGGTAGGATGAGGGGATCTCAGTTGAGGGTTTGATTGAGTTCAGACGCGGAGCGGAGAGAGATCCAGGAGAAGAGGGAGGGTGACGCCGGCAATGGTGGTGGAGAGGTTGAGGAGGCGGGAGAGATTTTCGACGGAGGAGCAAAAGTAGCGGGAGGTAGAAGAGGGTGAGAAGGGAGAGGAGGAGGAGGAGAGAGAGTGCAAAGCGGTGATTTTGTTTTTTTGGAGAACTGCACGGGACGGCACGGAACTACCCGTCTCGTGCAATTTAAAAATTACAAAATCGGTCTTTTCAGTGAAAATGATCGATTTTGCTATTTTTTTAAAAAATTATCGATTTTATTTATTAATTTTGAAAAAGAGTCGTTTTTGTAAAAATTTGTCCTAAATAAGTTTTTAGTAAACATTTTTCAGAGTGATGATTAAATTTCATGCCGCGTCAGGTCTTAGAAAACACCGTCCAACCGAACCAAACATACCCAAAAAGGCAAATATCAGTAATCGGCCCCTTACGACCGCAGCCCATACGCGATACCGGGCCGAGCTTTAACGGAGTCGGTCTGGGCCGAATTCCCAGCCCAAAGCCCTTTTGATCAACCGGTAACGAAGAACCAGCGACTCGAGTCAAGATGCCTATCCCTCTCTCATCCATGAGCCCTCGAGTCCCCATGGCTCTCCTCTCTCTCTAAACCCGACCCAAAAAAATCTCATCGACAATGGACGCTCCTTCCCTCCTAAAGTTCGCCGCTTCCTCCACTCTCCTCACCGCAGGTGAGGCCAAGCTCGCCTTCTCCGCCTCTTCCCGCCTCGTAATCCCTCTCCCTCTCCTTCTCGCCTTTCAAAATTTGCCTCCTCCTCTTCTTCAAAAATTTAATCTTTTCGTCTCCCCATTCACTTAGGTCTCACCGCGAAAGGCAAAGAGAAGTCTTTGTCTCGGGCCGGTTCTCCCCTCGAGGTTCTGTTCCACTGATGCCGGCCAGACCTTGGGTTCTTCTTCGAAGAGGAGAGCTCGAGGCCCCGTGATGGCGGCCAAGAAAGCAGCAGAAGGTTGTTATTCCTCTCACTGTTTTTCTTTTCGAAGAATTTTGGATGGGTCTATGAGCTTATTGGTTTTTAGCTTACTTGTTTGAAGAGTTAACGCGACTTTTCAGCAGAATCCTTGTCGCGCATGGTGAAATTTCTGATTTTTTTTTTGATGTTATTAATTCGTGATATATAATATAGTTTGTGTTCTTGGTGGTTTTTTCAAAGAAGTATAAGCTAGTATTGATCAGAGCTTAATGGTTCACGATCATATTGTTTTCATATTAGTTCGAGTGATTGGGTTTAAGCATCGTCCAAAAAGTTTGTACATACCTAACGTGAGCTTTTGAATAACTAGCTCATGGTTGTACCCATCCGTTCTTTCTTTTTTTGGGAGCAAGTATCCATATGAACGTTTTAGACTGAGCTATAATGAATCATGCCAAGGTAATCCATTCCAAAATGTTCTATTCTGGATTGCTTTATGAGATTATACACTGCATTGTTCTATTGAGGTGTTAATTGGAATATAATTACTTTGGAGACTTCAACTTTTATCCGTGTTTCCTAGTTTGTTGTTACAAATTCTACTCCAATTCGTGGGCTTAACCACATGTAGGCTGTTATTACAAATAATTGTATATTGAATCAAATCCTAGGACTGTTGCTTTTCACTGATGTACCTGGTTGGGGTTTTTGAAGGTCGTAAAGAAGAAGGGAAATATAAGCATACGATAGAGCTTCCCAAGACTACATTTGGCTTGAGGGCCAATTCTGTTGTGAGGGAGCCCGAAATTCAGAAGCTTTGGGAAGAAAACCAAGTGTTCAAGAGGGTTGTGGAGAGGAATACCGGGGTATATCTTATTCTCAGATCACCTAATATTTCATAATTTCTTTTGTAAGACGTGATAATTTCTGTTTTGTTTATTTAGTATATAATTTTATGTCTTATTGTCTTGCAGGGAAGCTTTGTTCTTCATGATGGCCCACCCTATGCGAATGGCAATCTTCATATGGGGCATGCTTTGAATAAAATTTTGAAAGATATTATAAATAAATACAAGGTTCACTTCTTCTTCATCCATATTAGGTCAAAAGAATCGGTTTATCATTAAGGTCTCATGTGCAACATTCTTGTAATGCAGTTGGAGCATATTTTTATAACTTTTATGGGTATTTACTTAATGGAAGTCTCCAAGTGAAATTCAGGAAGTTAAATGGATAATTAAGGCTGATAAAAAAAGTTCTACAGGAAGTTGAAAAAAATATGAAAGATGCCAAACAATGATTGCAAAAGAATGAATAAAATTTATGTGAACATTTTGCATGATCAAATGGATCTTGCAGCATGCTGCCAATATTTTGAGATGTCCTCACAATCTTTTTTCATTAATATATTATTTTTCCATTAGGATCTTAGTTTTGTTACACATTTTCATAGGCATCGATTATATGGTCCCATCTTCTATATGTGGAATACGATTAACAGAAAACTGCATGATTTTATTTCTGAACTGAAAGTTCTTATGATGCACTGCTGCTTGGGATATATGAGCCATTGCACCGGCGCATTTGCATACAACTCCATCCTTATAGTTGAGCCTTTTTAACATTGATGTGCTTATAGGGTTCATTGGTGCAAAATTCTATGAGGCGTTCACGAGTCTGCTGATTATTCTGTAAGTCGATGTCCACTAGTCTGCTGGTTATTCTATAAGCGACCTCTCTGGCTTATAACCAAATTTTAAGGTAGTAATTGGAAATACTAAATGATCATCATATCCTTGGTCTAAACTTATTGTTGACTTGTTATCTTCACATGCATCAGTAGGCCTATTGATTATCTGAATGCAAAATGTTAAATGTCAGTATGTTCAATGTCGATATCAGCAAATTTTCTATTTTTGGTATATAAGGTTAATCGAGCATTCAGCTTAAAGTAATTATTATACCTGCACTTGTAATCTAGATGTTTTACCAAATTTTACCAGTATTATGCTCACTTAAATTCTCTATTTCTTGCAGCTTCTTCAGAACCATAAAATCCATTTTGTTCCTGGTTGGGATTGTCACGGTCTTCCTATAGAGTTAAAAGGTAAGTGCCTTCTATATTGTGCAATACCTACAATGTCTTCAATGTAATTACTCAATAATTATTATTATACATCAAAATAACTTTATTAGTCAAGAAAGAGGGTAATTTACATTCCCAACATTTTTAGGATATTTGACTTGTCAGGACTTTATTACTTGTTTCAACTGCGGCCTAGAACAACTAATGGTTTGAACTGAACTCTCCTATATGCTACATAAACTGTATAATTGAACGTGTCCCTAGGGTATCTCACGTAAATCTTAATTGAAACTGAAGGTTGGTAACTTGGTATGATATCAAATTTGCACTAGCACACATTTAGATTATCAAATCGATACAATCGAGTATGTTATCAAATTGGTACAATCAACCCGATGACCTTTTGGTAGCCTAACTGATATCTTGATATTGTAAAACTTGCTTCCAACCTATAACATTCAAGTGCTACTCTTGTCATGGTCAAGTCATTTGTAACAAACAATATAAGACTTTGTTTAAAATTTAACAAACACTTACTCGTTGAAAACTAGTGGCCTACAAATGTTGATTAGCGTTTGCATTTGGGAGGCAACTGGGCTAATTATTTTTTAGTTTATTTTATTTTACTTTTTTGATAACCCAGCTCGGAATTGAATCCAGGACCGTGAGAGCCATATTGGAATCTCCCAACTGTCCGGGTCACCAGCAGTGCGTGTAGCTAGGCTTATTATTAAGATTTAGGGTTTGAGTGCTAGATTGATATGAAACGAGTTTAGTATATTGGATATGATAGATAGGTTAACAGCAAATAAAGGCTTCAAATCTTTTTGTGGCCTCAAAGAACAAATTACTGTATGCTTGGTCTCTACAATAAGATTAACATACATCTCTTTACAGAGTTTATAATTTCAGTTTTTTTCCTTTATCAATGCCATCCACTACCTATAACAAAGAAAGCAACATCTTTTATATTAAAGTCTTGCTTCATAGCTAACAAACTGATACTACATAAGTCCAAAACAGGTCCTGGATAAATTTCAAAAGGTTTGACTTTATTATATCGAGAATATGTTGATAACTAAAAGATATCACATACTCCAAACTGATACAAAGAATCCTAGGTAAATGGAAAATCTAATTGAAAAACCAAACAAAGTAATCAATACTGCTAGAACTATCTAAAATTATAAAACCTAATATTGCAAAAGGGACGAGGGTATTGTCACTTAATCTACTCACTTCTTGAGATCATGCATTTCTTGCTCCAAAAGCATTGCAATTTTTTGCTTGAATGTGTTGGTTTATCTTTCTATCATATTCCTTCAACTTTACTTTCTCTATTTGACCAAAGCTGCATAATTAGGAAATATTTCTTTGTTAGCAGATTGGTGAAGTAAAAAAAAAGATATCAATATATTTACTTGATATATAAAACCCACTGATTCTATATTGAAACCATATGAATATATGATAGCCACCAAGTTAAAATGGATAAACTGACAGGTTGTGGACAGACGTATATATATATATCATATATATATATATATATAATATATATATATAATATATATATATATATATTATATAATTAGTATATATATATATATATATAATATATATCACATGTAACTACCCTTTATATCAAATCATGCAGAAGACCATTGCTTGAAAGATTACTCACTTGGAAAGGAAGAATTCATGAGGGTAACATTATTTACCTGTTTAACCCATGACCTCTTTACTCTTTGATGGGATATCTTCCAAGTACTAACTACTATCTAAAAGCTTAGTTGATGCCTTGTTAGCCAGACCCATATTTTTTATGTCGTCGACCACTCAATGCCCTTTATGTTGATTTTTTATGCTTGAGGGTTTCCTAACAAATAGAAGAAACATCTTATATGAAACAACATCTTTTGATATCTTAAGGGAGATTTTAAGCATTGTCGTATCTTAAATTTCCTTTAATCATTACACCGAAACTCTGAAGTTATGGTGAGAGTTAATTATATTTTATATTCTAACGTGCTTTTGCAGGTTGAGCGCCCTTTTTGTGGGTCAGAACCTGTGCTTACATAGCAGTGTCAATTTTTGAAAAATCTACTTTAAATTCGTGGAACCTAGATTGCTCTGATATCAACTTAAAAAGTTTTTCTAACCATTTCATCAATCACCCCAAAGTTATGGTGGGGGTTGAGGATTTTCTTATTATACTCTAACAGTGTGAAATCCAAGTGGTGCAAATTTGTTAGGAAGTTCATGCTTCATGGTTTGCTTATGAGATTAGGTGTATTTACCTAAGTTATTAGAGAACAATAAAATCACAAGTACTTGAGTTATCTTTGTTCCTGTAGAGATCGAAACTGCAGATATACCATTCAAATTGATATTTTGTTTCTCTACTTAGTTCTTAGTAAATGCTATATAACTTATTAATGTGTTTAGCTTGACCAAATTGGTTGTAAGATAATTAATCACGACTTGAGTTCTTCGTAAAAGGTGCATATTCAAGCATAAATTGGAAGAGCTATAATTTTGTAGAAAGAAGATGAATCCAGTTACTAGAGTTTCCAAATTTTAAATAGGATTTAATACCTTAACCTTACTCCTACAAGGATTCAAGCTAATTCAGTTGAGGCCGAGACTAAAATCCCACAGTGAACAGATGTACCTAGGGCTGGGTGTGGAAATCACAAGAATCTAGTTACATGGACGCATGATGCGAAAAGCAATCTAAAATGGACCTGCAATGGTAATTCCTCAAGAATCAAAACTAAATAGACATTCTTATGGATGATGATTGTGGACCCTTCATCTAATGCGATTAAGAATTATTAGAATCCTTGCTTTTTTGGCAGGATTTTATTTTATTTTATGTAATTTTCTTTTTAGTTAGGATTTCTTTAGGATTTGATGTTAAGATCTCTTTCTAGCTTAGTTAGGGTATCATTTGATTTCATCCTTTAGTTTTGTTAAGTTTTGATTTCATTAGGATTTTTATTTACTTCCTTAACTGTTTTGATGCTTTCTCTTTCCATGAGGAATAAACCATCAATGAATAAAATTCGAGATATGAGAATTCTCTTGTGAGGAGCTTGTGAAGTGTTCTTTGTCATGTGATTTGCCTCTTTGGGCTGTGATACCCTTAGGTCTGAGGTCCGTGTGAAGCCTAATTTATTATCTAAACTTTTTCCACTTCCAATCCTAATCATTCATCCAAAAGCACCCCACGAAATCTACCTCAAATCTTAACCCTTGATCCATTTCAAGCAACTTTTGAAAAATCCCTATAGCATTACTGTTCATCAATGAACTAGGGATCAAACAGTTCACCAGTGAGCAGTAATCCGGTGCTGTTCACGGGTGAACAGTCATAAATGTTGTTTATGCGCTTCCCCATACTCCTTTTTCAATGTTGCCGATCACAATCCATCAGGATGTAGAACATACCCAAATGCTATTCGAAACCCTCATGTTAGAGACTCGACCGCCTTTGGACCGAAACTCTCACGCCGTTCCCCATCACATTCTCACAGAAGTACTATTTTTTCATTTTACCAGAAGAGTAAACTTATAGTCTTTATGTGTGAAAAATTATGTTAACCGATTATTACATCACTTATAAATTTAATCAAACTTGAACTATAACCACATACATTCAGAATAATGGAAACTTAATTCTGGAATTCATCTTAAATATTGCACGAGCATTAAACAAGAGAAGAAATTACCACAAGCATTCACAAAACAAGCTCATAACTATAAGACCAACACAACATGAGTTATTAATAAATGCGAGAGAAGTAAATAAATAAATAAATAAAATGTTTAACAATGTGTTGATTAAAATATAATCAATTTAAGCTGGGAGGACTATAATATCTTTAGGAGGTAATTAAAAATAATTGAGGGAATAAAAAGAACTAAATACTAGGCAAAACCAATTTGACACATCCCTATGTTGCACATATTCCCGTGCTATGCTGGAAAATTATATCAGGAGCTTTTCATGAAATTAGCATGTGATGATGAGTTAGCAATTAACATGTGATGGATGCTTGTTAGGATAGAGACCGATGCAGAAGCACCGATGCACTTTTGTGCTTCCTGTAAATGAACAACAGTAGGAATTACCATTAAGATAAAAGGATTGAGCACTGTAACTGCAGCACACTCTCTTTTATTTTCTTTCATTAGATTTCCCTTCATCGCGTACCCTAACACCCTATGAGATCTTTGCTTAGAGATTTTATTTTGTACCTTTAATCTGAACACATTATTAGTAATTATAGAAATATCAATACAAGGGCTCTTGGAGTTAAGTCCAACACGATCATTATGTCATTCCACATCAGTAGTTTTAGCCTGTGCACGTATCTTTCTTAGGACTTAAATTATACGTGCGTATTAGAACGGCCAATTGTTAAATGCAGCGGATCTCCAATCCCTTTATTTCACTGCAATCTAGGTCTAATGCTCTCCTTAGCAATCTTAGATGAACATCACCATTGTTTTTATGTTTCAGTTTTGCAGTCAATGGATCGAGATGCTAGAAAAGAGCTGACAACTTTAAGGTTGAGAGAAAAGGCTGCAGAGTTTGCCAAAGAAACTGTTAAAATTCAAATGAAGTCCTTTAAGGTCATAACTTATTTTTCTCTTTTCTCCCCTTCTTTCATAATTTTAATGCAGCTAAGGGTGTTAGCAGTTGTAGAAGCTGAGAGTTTTGCCATTATGAAATGTTAATTTGCATTTATATTCTTATGTCTGGTGAACTGAAATTTTCTTCCTTTTTTTGGGTGCCACAGCGTTTTGGTGTATGGGCAGACTGGGAGAATCCTTACTTAACTCTTTCTCCGGAGTATGAAGCAGCTCAGGTTGGTTTCTGAACCCTATATTGATCTTCTTGCAAATGTACGTAACGGAGTGGTGATGGAGTCCCGGAAAAAAGAAAAGAAAAGAAAATGTTGAGCATGCATTTCTGAGACCATGCTAGCTTTTACTTTCACATTTGTGATAGCTGTAGACAATTTTCATTTTGTTTATAGTATAGTCTTTATCAGTGTTACTAATCTTTGGATGATTTAAGAACTGTTTCATTCTTTCATTAAATGTATGTCAGATAGAAGTGTTTGGTCAGATGGCCATGCAAGGATACATATACAGGGGACGCAAACCCGTACATTGGAGTCCATCTTCCCGGACGGCTCTTGCTGAGGCTGAGTTGGAGGTGATATGATGCAATGCTATGCTTCTGATGCTTTTTTAAAAATAATTGTTTTTAAGTGAAGTGATACTAGATTTTAGGTAACTTATTAATTCTGATTGGGATGTGTCATTGGAATTTCGCTCTTTATTTTGGATTTTATTCTCACTATTTTATAAGTTAATATACCTTAAGGCTATTTTTTATCTTTCGAAGAATAACAGTGTCCTTAACTCTGATGATGTAATAGTTCATGCTTGCATTTAAGGTAATTAATTTCAGATACAACTAAATCAGGTCAAAATTCAAGCTAAAATGTCTAGATCTATTTCTGTTTGAGCTTTATTCTTGGTGAATTATATAGGCTATCTTGTTCAGATCTTGAAAGTGAGATGTCTGAATAGGATCTATAAAGTACACACATCATGCCGGATTCAGATAACTTATGGTGTCATAAAACTGAGTCTAACAACATAGCTTCAAAAGTTCAAATATGTAGTCACACATTGTTTTAATATCCCAAGCAGAAATTATTGCTTAACAACATTGTGCTTCTTTTGGATAGGCTTGGGTATTATCCAATGCATATTCTCTCAACTCGCAAGTGAATGTAAATTGAATAATCAGATGAATCTTAAATAGATCACTGGGATCAAGGACTGGATCTTAAAGTATGTATTCACTTAACATTTAATAAACAACTGTTTACTGTGGATGAGGACACATATGGATACAAACAACATAGGTCATAATACGGAAAAGTTAAAATACACTATAAGGACATGGCGTTTATTGGGTTAAGTGTAATATATTTCCTGTGCATACATAGGCATGTTGTAGGTATGGTACGAATATAGACCACGTCTGATCATCTTGTCTAAAATTTGGTAGTTTTTTCTTGTAATGTATACTTCTCGTGCATACTAGATTGTTATTTTTTAGGAGGCGGAATTAAATACGGAGTAAAAGATGCCAAAAATTTTCACACAGTATTTGTTGAGGAGCCTGACATTTTGTTTGATGCTATTGTGAGTAAGTAATTTAGACTATAGGGTCAATGTAAATGTGCCCAAAGTGGAGTACCCTGTTTTTAAGGCATATCACTTTTGTGTTCAACATGTGTGTTCGAGGCATGTGGTTCAACAAGTAGGAAGCTCATGGTTACTCACTTCATGTGTCCATACTTATAGATATACACCTATGATTAGTTATGGTTCCTCCTAACTGTAAACTGGAATTTGAGTCATGACACAATAACAATCCATGTTTCTCAAGTAACTGAGGGAAGTCTAATATCACAGCTGCTTAACCACAGAACTTGACAGGCTGTCATTTCTTTCACTGATTAGCCATCCACTTAATAATTACAATTCTACATCAAATACTGCTTAAGTACTAATAATATATATGCATTTCAAGAAATTAAGTTACTTGAGGATTCATTAATCATTATGTAATAACACTAAAGCCTGTATCCTTAATTTTTAGGGTCGGCTACATGAACCATATTCTTCCATTTAGTTTTCTTATGAGTCATCTCCTCGGTTAACCATCATCATATCTTTCTTAGTTGCTTCCAATCAAGTTCTTTTATGCTTACCTCTTATCCTCATTGCTCCATTAATTATAAACTTATTACTTCTCTTAGTTGGTTCATTTAGTACCTCTGTTGTACATGACCAAACCATCTCAAGATTTTTCTCCCATTTAATCCTCAATTAGTGCATTGCATGTGGATATATTTGTTTTATGCCCTAAATGTTATAGTTAGCTCATCGTTGCATATTGTGAATTTATTAATCTCATCTCCAACTAAATACATCGGACAAGCATGCTAAGACAACGTCGGCACCAGAATCCCTAGCTTATCCCCCAAATATTTTTTATAATACATTTTAGTAAAAATGAGGGCTTATGAGCTTGGTATATGAATGAATTTGAACAAGGAATAATTTGCTAATGCGGTGATAAAGATATAGTTAATAGTTTTTTTGGTTTATTACCATGAGTGAAATAATAGTTTTAAAGGCAATGCAGTTAATTAGGGGTTATAGACCATGATTGAGAATTTGATAAGTTCTTCTAATGGGTTAGTTTTGTAGACTATATATTTTTTCAATTATATGATCATCATACATTCATTATCATACTGTATGAGATATTACTTTCAATGTATAATATTCTACCATATTTGAGATAAATCATAATCTATCTAAGTAAGATATCTGCTAAAGTTTTGTTAATAATATGTCTAAATATTTATATTAATACTATTAATATATAGAAAGTATGTATTTTCTTAATATATTAAATAGTTTATATTATTATTTTATAATAAATATTTTATTTAAGGTAAAAGAATCATATTGTATAACTTTATTAATAATCATACTTTTTATCAATATAAGTCTTTGATTAAGTAATATATATTATTGAGGAAAGATAATGCATAAGTATTTAATTAATATAATATGTTATTATTTTATTAATATTCATAATATTTATCAATATAAGTATTTAATTAATATAATATATATTGTCAAGGAAATATTTGATAAATTAATAGATTAATATATTACGTTTGCAGCAAACCTTAACAAATCACATACGAATTAAAATATGAAAGAATAAAGGGGAATTATATAAAAAGTGTTAAAAGGATGAAATGTGTTACATATGAAATCTCCAACTGAGGCAGATGTTCCATTGAATGATCTTTGTTGCTTTGAGATTGCCCTTGATTTTGAAGAGAGCAATTGACTTGTAGAGGGATTAAAGACAATCCATGTTAGAAAAGTTAAAAGCGTGGAGTTTAGAGAGAAAGAGAGACCATCTAATTTCATACAATTAATATAAAAATGAAAAATAATTGAAAAAAAATTAAAAATAGAAGAAATAGCTTATCAGTGACTGCTGGTATTAACTCCCAAGAATGCAATCATATCTTTAACAAATTAACCCAAAAATTAAAAAACACTTAGGAAGAAATAAAGATGAATTATATATAAAATAAAATATGTTCAAAACTGAATTGGGTGATATATAGCTTCGGCTGTGGCGAGAGAAGTTTATGGCTGTAACTTCTTTTTGTCAAGAATGGTGCCACGTTTGTTTGATTGATTGAAGGTGTATTTGTAGAGGAGAAGAGATGAGAAAAGTGTGACTTAGTTTGTAGGAATAGGAAAGATTGTGTTAATGGGTCTAATGGGTGATTTATTGGGGGTTATGAGTTGAATTATTAATAATTTGAGGTATGAGTATTTGAGGAGTGGATAGTGGGTAGTAAATGAAATGTAGAGGATAGTTTTTATTTTAACCGAGCAATGAGAAAGCTAGGGGCACATGAATTGTTGAAAACCATCATTCAGTTCACATACACATAGGTGATAATAGTCAATGAGTAAAGGTGATAATCAATGACTTAAGTTATATGGTTAAAGGTGGTAATCAGTGATCAACATAGTGGTATAATGCGCAACATAGTGGTAGAAAATTATGGAGAAGAGGGTGACAATTAAGGGTCAATACTGGAAGTCTGGAACTGTGGGAATTTCAAAAAAAAGAAAAGGTTTTGGGTTGAAATCTGAGGCCTGTGAAATGGGCCCACATAATGGTAGGAATTCGACATATAAATTCTTAACCGCCATACATACTATTATATTAAAATAATCATAATATATATGGACTATATGTACAAATACTTTTTAAATATGATATTATAATACCTAGATTATGAATAAATTTAATATAGTATTTTAACGTTATAACTTATAATATTTAAATATTTTTTGTTAAAACTATATGTATTCTTAAAATAATCTAATCTTGAAATCAATGTAATAAATATTATAATATTATTATAAGTATTTATCATATTAATGAAAATGTATTAATGGAAATATATGAACGTATATATTTCATTTATTATAATATTTATCATATTGATTATATATGTATGTTAATATATGTACTTATTATATATTAGTTAATTATTATACATATGGAAAGGGGATTGCCATGTCAAAACTTTTGATTGAAAGGGCAAAAGAAGCAATCAAAAGTTTTGACATAGCAATCCTCATTTATAAGTAGTATAGGTTTGCAACAAATTCAACTTCTTAAGCATGCAGTCATTTCTGTCTATATCTTACTGTATATCCACACATCCACCATGGTATTCTCATTTGTGCTACTAAATTTTCGCAGATGTTGTTGCTTAACTATCCAACGTCTTGATTTATAAGACACTGTTGGTCATGTAATTCTTTTATAGAAATTTCCCTTGATCACATCGCCTTAGGAGCATTCCTTCATTTTAACCAGCCATATTTGATTTGATGAATCACATTATCCTCAACCTGACCAACTTGAAGAAAGCATTCATTATGTTCATAATTTTCATGCATATCCTAATTTTTCCATATTCATTCATTTTAATGTAATTTTTGCCATCAATATATTGATGCAGCTGGCAAAATTATGTCACTCGACAATAGGATATAATCTTTGCTGTTGTTACTGCAAAAGCAATGTTTAACGTCTAGTTAGGTAATAATATATTACCGATCACAAAAATTAACAGTCTGAAGATTTTTCGCCCTGGTTAATTACTAATCTTCTTTATACGATGTGCAATTAGAACAATGCTTATACACATGCATTCCTTTTTTAGCACCTCTTTGTAATATCTATTACTTGATTCTTGAAAGCCTAACTTATTACTGCTCTTTTCTCATACACATATTTTTATCATGTTTATCTTTACTGCACACTTTATATACAGTACCCTGAGGGCCATACATCTAGGAGTATATATGCTATATTCAAAGTTGTTAGTGCGCCTCAAGCTTCTGATGGCCTCTTAGAGGAATTCTTTCCAGATCTGTGCGTGGCAATATGGACAACTACTCCTTGGACTATTCCTGCTAATGCCGGTAATTTTTTCAAGATTTAAAGCAGCACTCATTACCTGTAATCTAGCTTTCACTAAGTAAATTGGCAAAGCTGTACATTTTCTAACTTCTTGTACATAGTACTAGGATGGTGACCTCCTGGGACGTCTATTGAAATCAGTTCACATAATCTTTATTCTTTTGCAGTCTATCCAAGCAGAGCTAGAGAAGAGTTGAGTTAGGTAGCCTAAACCTAGCATAACATGTGGTTGGACCTGAAATGGATCTTAAAGAATATTCTATTAAAAACGTGTATCGGTATTATTTATAATTCTTCTTTCTGTCAAGAAGAAATTAGGGATACATACAGTACAAGGCATTTCTCCCGTTAAGTAGGATATAGTGGAGCCGTATCTCTGCATCTCATCAATGAAGTCAGTCACAAGAGATGCGATAATGATTTTCAGTTGCTGGCGGCTGGCAGCCACTTCTTATACCAGTGGTCAGTTTGGATGAAGCTTTGCTGACAATATAAGAGGCATCTTTCATGCCATCTTGCCATTACCTGAAATGCCTTCCTGTATGCCATCTTTTATATAGTGCCTGAGCATTCTTCTATCCTTTTTCCATAAAAGGTTAGCCACTTCTTATACCAGTGGTCAGTTTGGATGAAGCTTTGCTGACAATATAAGAGGCATCTTTCATGCCATCTTGCCATTACCTGAAATGCCTTCCTGTATGCCATCTTTTATATAGTGCCTGAGCATTCTTCTATCCTTTTTCCATAAAAGGTTTCCTTCTCTCTTCAATGCATGGCATCCTGATTCCTGAGTCCTTAAGTTTGACAATCTACTTATTAGAAACTTTGGTCCAGTGTACCCAGAATCTGATGTGGAAGCTAGCATAGGATAGCATAATTATAACTCTTAACGTCAGCAGGGACTCCCTGAAGAGCCAATCAAATTTAATAAACCCATTAATTGCCCTTTTCATGTAGATTCATCATTTACTTTGTTCTCATGGGATCGAGCAGCTCACTATATTATATATATCCCCAATATTCAATTGTCTCTGGAGCAAGGAGAACTGTCAACTCATTGGAGTGGTGGTTCCTTGCATAAATTTTCCTGGTTTGCATGCAGTGATTTTGCAGATATTTATTCCGCTTACTCAAAGTTTATGCTTCTTTTTTCCCATCTTGTCGATTGTTGAATCTTTGGGATATCTGCTGTTTGCTTTAGGTTGTTGTTGTTAGTTGATGATCTGGTGATACAGCTATGGAATCTCAGTTTAGACTTGTTAGTTTACAATGGGCCAAATCCCTCAGGTTGTAGAGAAAAGGGAAAAAATAGAAATGCACTCATGGGTTATCCATCTGAATATAGATTGAAAGCGAGGGGTGCCCCAAAGCAAGATGCTGTTATGATACAGAATTGACGCTGAATGTAATCTGATCATCATGTCTTGTACCGAGAAATTTGGGACAGAAATATGACCAAGTACTTTTATTGTATCATCAAGTGCCACCCCTGCTGCCTTGACTATTTGGTTGCATCTTGCTTGTTTAACGAATAAGTCCTTCATTGTATAACTTAGTTTCTGGACTATTAATTATGTATTTTTGTGTCACCCCTACTGCCTTGACTATTTGGTGGTACCTTACTTGTTTAACAAATGAGTCCTTGATTGTATAACTTAGATTTCGGACTATTAAATATGTATTTCTTTGTTACTGGACAGTCAAGGAATATTGTTATTACATGCTGGCTGATATCATGATACTTGCTGCTGTTATTTTAGCATTTAAAACAATCTGAATTTGCCCATGTTCTTTTTTATTTCCGAGAATACAGGATTGAGCCAAATGATCCAGCCAGTGTGTGTGCATGTGCGTGTGTGCGCGTGCATACGTGGGTGTGTGCTATGTTTTATAGTAGTTTCATTTGGAATAATAGTCTTTTCTATCTTGCAGCTGTTGCTGTTAATCCTGAACTTTTGTATGCGGTAGCTGAAGTACAGTCAATATTGGAGGATACATCATCTGCTCCTTCTGTGAAGAACAAAAATATTGGCAGGGTTCTGAAAAATGGTGAGAGGAAGCCCTTCCTCATTGTAGCGTCAGAGCTCATACCAACACTTGAATCCAAATGGGGGGTGAAGCTTTTGATCAGGAAAACATTCCTTGGTTCAGCTTTGGAGAACTGCAGGTTGCACTATCAATGAAAAAAAAAAACAAAATTGAACTAATATCTACAAATTCATTTTCATATGTTCGTTCTTTATAGTATATAACCAAATACATTATATAAAGTGTGAATTGAAGATTCTACTTGACCACAGATCTATTCTATAAATTCAATTTTGCAATTTTTTTTCTTGGTTAGCTTATACGGTTTTTTCAGTATAAAGTCTCTACTCACTACTTGGTTTAATTTTGATGTCAGGTATATTCATCCAGTGGATGGAAAAGAATGCCCTGTTGTTATAGGTGGAGACTACATAAACACTGAGTCAGGAACAGGGCTTGTTCATACTGCCCCTGGACATGGGCAGGAGGATTACATAACCGGCTTGAAATATGGACTGCCTATACTTTCTCCTGTGAGTGATGATGGAAAATTTACTGAGGAGGCTGGGCGGTTCAGTGGCTTAGATGTCCTTGGGGCTGGTAATGTTGCCGTTGTGGAGTATCTTGATGAGCACTCATTACTTCTTGTGGAGGAACCATACAGTGAGTAATCCTTTTGCATAGGAGCATTGTTTTAAATATCCCTGACATGGTCGGATATATCGTGCGATATATCCTTTTACAGGGCTTGCCGCAACCCATATGGTCTCTATATATCCTCCATCTCTTTTTTGGCTATTTTAGGCAATATGTCCCCAATATGGCCGAGATAGCAGCCGGCATGTTGACTGATATATCCTTTTATATGGCTTGTCGTAGAACAATATACCACATTTGGTAATTTTTGGGCGAGATCATGATTTTCCTATTATATCAAATGACATTTTGGCCTAAAAAATCAGGCGAAATGTTGCAATGTTGATTTTGTGCTTTTGTTTGTTTCACAAGGTTCATTAGTGATCCTAGACATATATTATTTACATTTGTATGCTTAAATTTCATTATGCATCTTGATATTAGTATTACATTTTAGTGCATTATACTATATATGCAAACATCCGTTATGGCATTCCGATATTTATCACATATTCCCGATATTTTCCCGATATCCGCAATCCAATATGAATTTTGGCCATCTTATATTTCCCCAATATCCGATATTTAAAACCTTGCATAGGAATTGACCCGTCCTTTTCTTCTTATACCATATTTAATGTCTTGGAATACTGTTCAAAGTGAATTCTGTGATTTCTTTGTAGAGCACAAGTACCCTTATGATTGGAGAACCAAAAAGCCAACAATATTCAGGGCTACTGAACAATGGTTTGCTTCAGTTGATGGCTTTAGACAGAATGCCATGGATGCTATCAGCCGTGTGACTTGGATTCCTTCACAGGTACCCATGACATTGTTTGCCTTACTTTTGTTATTAGTTATTTTACTTGGGGTCTATCTTTAGAGGCTTGGAGCTTTGTCTTTGTAATTTGTCGCAACAAGTTTATATTTTAAGAGCAATTATTTTGTGTTTAATTTCCATGTCTAGCAACTGATGTACAGCTTTGGTCTAATTTCAATCTGGAGAGAGTTTGAGTGGATGGTTCCCTACATTGATGGTTAACACCCATTTAGTATCCTGATTATGGAATACTCTCAAAAGCCTCTTTTGTGAGTTATGAATTGTAATCTAGAAGCTCATTATTCCCTTTCATTAAGCCTCTTTTGCAAGTTATGAATTGTAATCTTGGAGCTCATTGTTCACTTTCATTTTGGAATGCAAATGGCATTTTGGTTAATGGATAGAAGACGAAGTCACCTATGTTTATTTTTACGTACGTGTCTATTCAACAACTGTCTACTGCTCAAGTTCCTGATGGAACCTTGAAGGTGATTAACCGCACTTTGTTGTTGATCACCTTATACCTACCTTATACCCTCAGCATGTGGAGAAAAGAAAAAAACTATGAAGAGACGAGCACCCTTTGGTAACCAATAAGGATGCCTATCTCTTGTTTTGGTAAGATAAAGTAGTATGATTTATTGGTTAATAATTGTGCACGGTATATTGAAATATAATATCCTCTTATTCCAAGTAATAAAAGATCTTTGGCAGTGAATTGCAAGTGAGTCGAGGACTTTGTGGTATTGAGAAAGACTTGAGACAAAATGCTAATGATTCTTGAGATGAGATGTTAGCTTTTCAACCAGGTGTATTTTACTACTGAAACTGGAAGTCTTAAATACAGCAGACTATGACACTAAAGAACGCATAAGCAATATTATTTTATTGATGTTCAGGTAGTCAAAGGAAACAAGAAAAGATTTTTTTTTTTTTGGCGAACACTGATTTGTAATGCGCTTTGAGCATTGCTGGAGGTATATACTTTAACTAGTCATCAGTCTTTCAGGTGTGCATATCTCACCTAAGTTCTTCATAAGAATGCACTTGTGGTGAAATTTGTGGAAGGCAAGAAGCATGCCTTTTTACATTTGGCCACAACTCTTCAGATTAAGCCATTTCAGATTAGCTTTGGAAGGGTAGATCTAAGTGGTAAATTATCAATTTTGGCTCATTGTCGAGATATTCAGGCATATCTAAACTGGAACATTGTTGAAGATGTATCATTAAAGAATATGTTAGGAAGACCTCTAAACGAGAAATTTGTTTTGATCTTAATGGATAAAAAAGTAAGCTAGAAAGGATATTCACACGAATTTTATTGCTTTTCCCTTTTCGCCCTTTCCTTGAAAGCTTCTACCCCCCCCCCCCACCCCCCCCCCCCCCTCTCAAGTGGAGGTATGGGAAATTTTAGGTTTTAAGTGCTGCATCAAGGGTGAATAAAGTTTCTTTTAAGTAAGATTAGTTTAGGTTTGTTTTATTTAAATTCTAGTCAGTAGTTTGACTATGGCTTTGTAATTGGATTTGCATCAGCTCTTGTTTATTCCTCCCATCTGGATTTAATTAAGTTCTGTTAAAAGGTTCCTTCCACTACACTAAAACCACTAAAACCCTGAAGTTGTGATGGGGGTTGAGGGTTGTATTTAGACTCTTACATGCCTACAGCAGGTGACCGCCCTTTACATGGGAAACCTGAAATTATGTGAAAGTACATTAGCATGAATAATTTTATGCTCTTTTGAGTCGATTTCATATAAATATGCTCTTACGTATCATGGGCAAGTGACTGGAAAACAACAGCATGTATAATTGAAGATTTGAGAGCATGTAAGCATGTGCTTGTGTGTAGATACAGACAGACACAGACATCATGGCTGCATACTTGCATGGAAATACAAATTTGAAAAAATATATGCATGTGCATGCATGCATGTGCTCACATATAGGTGAATCTGTGTACATGGACATGTGCTTTGACTGTGTACATGGGCATGTGCTTTGACGCGTCTGCGGAATAAGTTTATTAGTGATATATCATTACCAATGATGAGATAAATATTAGCACTTGCAGAACGGGTTGGTTTTATGACTTCTAGCTACTCTGATCGCTGTGTTTCACGCCAAAGAATTTGGATGCACCTATTTGATATGTGTCCCTGTGTATTTGCCGATGTCTGTGCATGCAAAATAGTATTATATGTGATATTGACTATTTTCTAATGAGATAAATTCCTGCACAGGCAGAAAACAGAATTGTTGCTATGACTTCTAGCCGATCTGACTGGTGTATTTCACGGCAAAGAAATTGGGGTGTACCTATTCCAGTCTTCTATCATGTACACTCAAAGGAACCCCTGATAACTGAAGAGACTATTGCACATGTCAAGGGTATGAAACTCCCTCATATTAATTCATGGTCTCTTTTTTCTTTCAAATACTTTACTCTTTGAATTTGAGTACCTTTTCTTTTCCTTCTCTTCTCCAATGTTTCCACTTTTATGCTGTTACTTAATGGACCTTAATATATATATATATGCTTATAAATCTTTTGTACATTGCTGTTTTGTGTAATTTCTTAAGTTTTCGTATCAACTAATAAGTCACTTCTATATAACATCCTCTTTATTGTTTGATTTTATCCATCTGTTGATATGCAGGATGTTAATATGACTTCATACAAGCGTTAAATAAGGTTTTACATGATGAAAATTCATTTATATATATAAATATACACACACACGTATATGAATTGAGGTAGAATATAAAGTTATGAAGAATACTCCTTAGGAGGGTTATGGAACGCAGGAGCTTTGAGGTTACATTGAAGGAAAGAGTTGATTTTTTTTTTGTAGAGGTGTTCCTTACTTCCCTCCCCCAATCCCCTCTCCCCAACCTTCCACCCAAAAAAAAAAAAAAACCCAAAAACCCTATGCCAAAAAAAGGAAAAGAAAAGAAACACCCAACTCTGGTGTCTTATAAAATTCTAGTTGAGAATGACGAAGGCAATAATTTTAGCAGCTTTCATTGCTTCAAGGAGACCCATTTCTGTGTCATGCAACCACAACCACAATGCTGGTGTGTGGCTGCACATTGGCCACTGCATGCACCTGCTTGAAATCCGCACATCATTGTCCATAACTATTCTGTTGTTGTTCAAACTATACGTATATTATTTTTTTTCTTCAAAATGTTACCGTAAAATTTAAATTTTCAACTTACCTTTACCCGTTCAGTTTCCTTTTTTATTGCTGATTATGTTATCAGTATGGCTATTGAACCTGGCTAATACTATCAGCTCTTTTTACTTCATATCACAAGATAATTGTTTAACAATCTTGTTTAGTAATCAACAATCATATATAATTTTGCATCAACAATCCAGTATTTAGTCTTGATGGTTTTGTTTGTCTAGGACCTTCTTTAGAAAATGAACGGACACAGACATAGAGATAATACTCTGTAGAGTGATATATAAGTTTTTTCTTTCTACACTTTTGTCTTGTTTTGTAGATATCAATGAATTTGGCTTAGTTGATATCTTTCTTAGAAACTTGTCAATTATATTCTTTGAGATAAAAACTCTTGTGCTTCCTTGTTTGGTTACACTTATTTTCAGTTCAACGTGAAATCTGTTTGCTAATGATTTAGAAGATTCCTGCATTACTCCAAAATCTATTCATTACTGCAACGTATTCCATACTGTTTTGTTAAGATGATTGCCCTCTATGGTGGGAGTAGTGGTAACAGTAGCTTCTTAACTACATCTGCGTGTAAACTGCATCTTGCCTATGTTCATTCATCACAATTATATTTTATTTTTTCCTATCTTGAGTTGGAATATAATATGGTTATATTTCCAGATTTAACTTTTTACCCAAAAATTCCTCTGAACACATGCTATTGACATTAACTAGATAAATAAAAAAATATATATATGCAATTAACAATTGGACAAAATACGTGTAGTTCTCTCTGAAGAATTGTATTTTTGTAATGAACCGGTTGTGTTAATTATATAAACAAACATGAGCTCTTCGCATATGTCAAATATTACTATCTAGAGCTTCAGATGTTGTATGCAGTGCAATCCATGTTTTAAGTTCTGTTTTTATATGATGACTACTTGTTTTTTTTCCGGTCGGATCAATACCCCCACAACTTATAATCATGAATGTACATGGTTGATGTTTAGTTGATAAGTAATGGCACACTTTACTAACAAGTTAAATGTAATTGGATGTTGTACAAAGTTGATTATTATGGATGTTTAGATGAAACCAATCCAACCACAAGGGAGAACGTTTTACCATGTACTGGCTGCATTTTCCCTTTTCTATAGTTGTTTAGATATAATTTAATCATTATAGGATATTCCAATTTACTTGTTCATTTTGTTTCCCATTGTGCAGCTATAGTCTCGAATACGGGTAGTGATGCATGGTGGTATATGTCTACAGAGGAGCTTCTCCCTGAAAAATATCGCAGCAAAGCTTCAGATTATCAAAAGGGAACTGATACAATGGATGTTTGGTTTGATTCTGGTATGTTTCTTTTTCAAGAAAAAAGGTATAGGTATGATGCATAATGTGAAATTGTTCTGACATATACAGATATTGTTTGGAAAGGTGTAAGGTCAAAAAATAGCCTTCCACCAGCAATACACTAAAATCTGTTGTGGTTATACTTTTATTTCTTGTACCATTTAAGGCCTTAATACACTTGTAGTGAATGTGGGTACTTTGTTTGCTCATAAAACTTGGGCAGATCTTGTACCCAGCTCACATTGTATATTATGGGCATAACTTCTCCTTGCGCTCAAAAATTGTTAAAGCACTGTACTGTTCCTAAATAGGACACTAGTATGATGTTTTTGATTAGACATTAGTATGATATAATACTAATGGTATCGTACTCAAGTTAAAAATGCACCCCCACAAAAAAAAAAACCCCAACCCGCAAAAAAAAAAAACTTGTATGGTAGAATGGTTATGTATGCATAAGCTTTCCGAACAACATTTGATTACTCTAAATAAATGGTCTTGATATTGTAAATCATTGAGTTATACTGGTAATTCAATATGTCCGACTGGTTTGAGTAGAAAGATTATAAAAAATCGTTAATAAAATGGAGAATGGTTATAGATACATTCACGTAAATAAGATGCTGTCTGCAGAAGGCAAATACTGTCTACAACCTTATTAGAGAATAACTGAGAAATTTTATACCAGAAAAGGATTAAGAACGGAATGTAACAGTTTAACACCTATTATACTTCTTGGATGACTTGACAGTTGTCTTGTGGTGACTTTCTGTGAACACGTATTAGCAGATGTCTCTCCTAATGATTGACCTCCAAGTTGATAAGACTTGACAGTTATTCCATGAGTGTGCTGAAGTTATGATGAATTCATAGATCTTGTTGCTTGTAAGTTGTAACTATGATGTAATCTGGACATTAGTAATCTGTTCCAATAAAACTGTCAGAAATGGGTATTATGCGATATGTTCACTTAAATTAATTATGTACTTCTCTATAGGTTCATCTTGGGCTGCGGTCCTGGGGAAAAGAGAAGGCCTCAGTTTTCCAGCAGATGTGTATCTTGAAGGTACAGATCAGCATCGTGGGTGGTTTCAGAGCTCTTTGTTGACCAGCATAGCGACAACAGGTAATCTTTTCCAAAGTAGTTTTTGCAATTGTTTGATGTATATCGATCTTCATTCATGAGGGACTTGTAGGATGTCCTTAAGTGTATTAATCTGAGGTTATTTCCTGACCAGTTGTTGAACTTTTACATATTTCTATCGAGATCCCTTGATCGCCTAAAATTCTTTTAAATATGTTAACATAGTTGCATATACTTGATATTCGGTTCACTTTGAGTGGAGGGTTGCATCTGAGACATTTAAGCCAATTGTTACTCTTTGCACAACTGCTGCTAATGAAGTCAATTATAACTGCAGTTGCAAAAATGCCTCCACAGTTAACATATTTTAAGGCATGAGTCGCACATTCAACTTTTCTGAACTATATAACTGGACTTTATGTTTCATGTCCATTTATAGCCAGTCCCTAACAGAAGTCCAAAAGATCTGATATCCCAAACGAAAATCTACAGCTGCATCTACTACTGTAAATTGCAAGAGTTTAAAGCTGACTGTGACAACAAATGAATGCGAGTCTGTGACTGTTGCAGCAGCTAACATTTGCATTGCAGTTACAGTTTTCAGAATAAGCGATAATTTCGCTTGGTTATTTTGTTTCACAGAAACTTGCAAATGCAGACTTCCTCTATAGTTACCTTTATTTGGCTTGGCTTAGGACACTGTCGGACTTCTTGGTTAACCGTATAGAAACTGGGTCAACATCAATTGTTTAACATCAGCATATGTTTTTAAGCTCCTTTAAGGAAAGCAGGTCCTAACTAAACTTCTTTTTTGGCACTTGAGCAAAGAAAATACTTTCAATCATTGTAACGATTGTTTATAATAAATAGTAATTTGAGCTTTCACTTACATCCAGTTGAGCAACATTCTAAACCCAACAAAATGTCCATGCATGTAGTAAACTGTTATGCATAATCAGTGTAACCTTTGAACTTGAGCCGCATGATCTAGATTGAGCATTGAATGGATACAAGTTATCATTATTTCATGATAACGTGTGCCTTACAAGGACAGGAGTGTCAAGTTCTTTTGAAGTGTTCCTAGTCATTAAAGGACATGACATTGAAGCTCCAGGTAACACTGGAAGGCACATCTGTTTAGGAGCTTGAAGACCATAATAGTTTGTAATAGGAGAAAAGAAGAGCATAACTCTTCAAAGAAGGTGGTGGAAGTTGGTGGTGTTATAGGATGATAGGACTAAGGGAATTTTGGTGAGTCAAGATAAATAATTTGAGGCTTGATGTAACCTGATTTTAGATTATGAGCTTTTCGACCATAGACTGGTTCAGAGAAGAGAAGAGAAGAGTAGTAGTATAAGGGGTAATTACAATATAAAAACCTTCTAACTTTAGTGTGTTTTGATGAAAGAAATCACTTGTATTTAAAATGAACAAAAATCATGAGATGTTTAAATTGCTTCCAGCACTAAACAGATGCAACGGATGTTAGAATAAATTATTTTATGTCAAGCCGAAATATCGGAAATTATGTGGCCCCGTATTATCAAAAGGAAGTAACAAAAGAATACTCTGTGCGACGTATTAGCTGGTGAAGTGTATCATTCAAGTAAAAATCCTTCAAACATGCACTTCCTATTGGAATTCTATCAAAGATGAAGTTGTAGGAACTAGGAAGTGCCATTTTTTTATATGTTTTTCTCTACTTTGTAATAATCTGTTATTATTTTTCCAATCATCAAAGCCACTATCGTAGTCATTTATAGTAGATTTATCTAAAAACATTTGGATGAGATATAATTTTTCTTCAATACATTTCAGGAAAGGCTCCTTATTCATGTGTTATCACCCATGGATTTGTACTGGATGAAAAGGGTTCAAAAATGAGCAAGTCTTTGGGTAATGTCGTGGATCCAGATATTGTCATTGCTGGGGGAAAAGGCTCAAAGGTTTGGTTTCCATCAATAAAAATACTTATGGCAGTCTCTTTATTGGTCTACATTGTTTATTATGTTTTATTCCTTTACGGCAGGACGGACCCGGTTATGGAGCTGATGTCCTCCGTCTTTGGGTGTCGAGCGTTGATTATACAGTTGATGTATTGATTGGGCCTCAGATACTCCGCCAAATGTCTGACATATATAGAAAACTTCGAGGGACACTGCGATTTCTTTTGTCAAATCTGCATGACTGGAAAGTATGTTCAGGTTGTCAGCTGTAAATTCTTTTATTCTTCTACTGATGGTCGTGCAATTCATGATGTTTATGATATACACTTTCTACTACTGCCTTTTATTTTCTTGTTTATACACCAAGGAAAACTCTTTATTCCAACAGTCCTTCATTCCTTCTCATGCTTCCTGGTAATTTGCTTAAATTCTTGTGTTTTGTTATGGTAACATGTCGTTTTACCTGAGTATGAAAGTATAATGTAAGCTTTCATTTCCCTGACAGAAATTTTCTAGTTTTGTTTCTCTCTGCCTAAATCATTTTCCTTGCATCGCGTCTAGATATCTTTTTTTTGTGGGGTTCAACATATGCATTTGGAAATAACTATTTATTTTATTCTACATTTTGCTATGTCATCTTCTTTTTACTATCTTGTAGCCTGAAAATGCCGTCTCATATGATGATCTTCCCAAGATTGACCAGCATGCTCTTTTCCAACTCGAAAATGTAGTCAGTTCCATCAAGGACAATTATGAAAGCTATCAGTTTTACAAGATATTCCAGGTAATTTTATACACTTTCTGTATTTGCAAGATTTGCTGAGATTAAATATTTTGGGCCAAAGTTCATAAATTCCAATGAATTTGCTAGACTCTCATAGCTCGATGTAGAAGGCACTTTTTGAATGAGTTGGAGAGCTGTTAAAATTTCTTTCTTGAGGAAATGGATGGGGCAATAACTTTTTTTTTTTGGTGGGCTTGGTTCACAGTTTATTTGATCACAATGTTGTTTATCTCCATGTCTTCTCATAGGAACTTCAGTTACCTTATGTTTATTCACTTGTGGCTATATTTTGTCCATGCGACTCTTTTCTATCATATCTTCCTTTTGATCAATTAATTGAATGTATCATTAGTTTTCCTGGTCTTCCTATTACTGAGGATTACCACAGGCTTCTGTTTTAAGGCTGTGAAGCCGTTAATCATCTTCTTGAACTTGTAGGATAACTCTGAAAGTCTGAAGACTTTAGCATCTACCTACACAAGTTATTTTGAGTGCTTTTGTCTAAGAGATTATGGGCTTCCTTGAGTTCTCGGAAATATTCATTTCTTGTTAGATACCCTACTTAAATATTGCCTTGAACTAGTTTTATGAATTACAGCTAGTTTGTCCTTATGTCATGTCCTCTTTGCCTTTAGTAAAATATAAAGAACTTGTAACTTTACATCATAAGAGATTTTATTGTATGCTTTTATTTTCTGGGAGTTGGTGTATCCATCTGCATCCGTAGGTATAAATCCGGTTATTATTTTCTTTTCAGCCATAGCGTCCAATTTTGTATTCTCAGTTCGTTAGAATAGAATCATTCATGGATCCTCCTAAAAACCTTTTACCTAGAAAATTAGGAATGCAAGAAATCTTCTATTATTTACCTTAGCCCTAAACAGGATTATCCCTTGTCATCTGAAGGATGTTCCTCTCCTTCCTTATCTTTTATCTATTCCAAACCCCAATATGTAGCTTCTATTGTCCTATTTTAACCTTTGGCTTCTATAGTTGCTCTTGCTTGTTTCCTCCTTCTATTGCCTTCTTCAACGTGTCTACCTTGTTTTCCCTGGAGTCTTTGGCCATTCCTTCAGTGCTATTCTTTGCTAATGTCACACCTAAGTGGATTTTGAAATTTTGGTGGCAAATGGCATATGCTTTTATTTGGATTCTCAGAAGGGTTGATGAGACCTTTAATGTAATTCTTTTGAGAAGGGTACATGATCCTAGAAACTAGAGAATATAACACATGACACTAATATCAATGCAACACGATGTTGTAAATCGTCGGGATAGGCAGGCACAAGGACATGACTACACATGTATTTATGTGTATTTATATTATGCACCATTCCATTGCGTTTAGGATATGTTTTGTTATCGTCAGAAGACAAGATAAAGTCTCAATAAATTTAATTCCTTCTCATCGAGTAACTAAATCAAACAGAATGAAATCTCTGAAAATCCAACCTGATATCTCCTCAATACAAGTCTATGAAGCCCTCACATGATTAGAAGGTGTTTTGGGTTTGTTATCATGGTATCCTTCTTATTTCAGATGATAATTTTATATGTCGAACTGACACATGGCTCTTGGTGTGTAACACTGGTTTTTAGAATTATAATTAAAAAAGAAAAGCGAACACCTCTCTGGTACACTAATTTTGGTTTCGTAGAATCCCACATAGTTCTGTAGCATCCGTATGTGCTGGACATGGAACTAGTTCGCAGTCCTTGCTTCATTCTGTGGACATATATATTGTCTGCTGTATTTTAATGGTGACTAATCTATGATGGAATAAAAAGATGTAGGAAGATAGGAATGACTAAGTTGAATATCTCTTTCTTACTCTATCTTTCCGAAGTTGGACTGGGATACATACTGGGTCATCCTTATCGTCATAGTAGACCTAATAAGTACTACTAGCTTAGGATCTGGAGATGTATGTCATAAAGTTCTAACCTGTCATTTAAGGTTATCAGCATGCTACTTTTTCTGTCAGATAAAACTCCAAATTTTCCCTGTTGTTATAGAGCAACAGCTGGAATTCCATAATTGTTGTCATCACTTTGTCAGACCTGATCAATCTTTGTTGGCGAAGAAATGAAAGGTTAAAAGGGGCTGGGTCTGATCTAATAGCAAAGAAGTTCTGTTTACAGAGTAAGGAAATAAGGGGATAAGAAATAATGCTTGTTAGTAATTAGGCACTCTGGGTAATGGGTAACTAGGATTAGATGGTAGATCATAAAGGCAACCATGACACGATCACTAATTTGTGCCCCCTCCCCACCCACCCACATCCTCCACACGTCGTGGAGAACTTGAATTAAAATATTGATGTGTAAAAACTAGCATCAAAATATATGATTTAGATATTTATATCAAAAACCAATTTTGTCATTTGTGCATCAGCATCCGGATATGGCCCAATTATTTAGAAGTATATGAATATTTGATGTCCATGAGCAAAGATATAACCAGCCAAGGGTGACGTGCATAGATATATAACCCATTGTCCACCTTGCTGGCATCAGAACATGAAGCATATCACCATGTTGACCTTGCTTGGCAGGACTGGATCGCCTCAAAACTAAATAAATAAAAATAAACTGCTGCCCTTTCATTATTTGATGGAATATTTGCTATTGGAAATTGCATAATATGGTATGGACGGATGTCCTATTGACTGCTAATATCAAGTAGATTTACGAGTTGCATTTTCAGACTGATGAGACACTTTAAACTTGTTGCAGCTTTTCATATGGGATGGAATAGGAAATCTGTTGCATAACTAATTTGTTTGTATTAGGCATGAATAGTTATTAGCTGATGCTTACAATTATAGGTTATTTTACCACGTTGCAGATAATGATTTCTTCAAAAGAACCTGTATTGCTATGTATAATCCCATGTTCTTACAGAAATTTATCTGATTAAGTATACTGTTTGTTATCATATTTGGTGTTCTGTTTTGCACACCAGTTTTCTCTGATAAATTTTGTTGTACCAGACAATACAACGGTTTGCAATTGTTGATCTGTCAAACTTCTATTTTGATGTGGCTAAAGATCGACTATATGTGGGGTATGTTTTTTTTTCTGGCATACAATATCTGTGCTCTCTCAATCAATTTTGGCCTTTATTTGTTATTTATCTGTGTAAGCTATTACATAATTGTTTTCCAGAATTTTACGAATATTATATCTAGAGTATTTTCGTAAGATTCGCAAGCTCTTGCTCAATAAGCATTGTCATAAATGAGGTTGAGGGCTTGCTCCTTTCATAATCTCTCATCTTCCTATTAAGGCTGCAGGCCGAGCTAATTGGAGCTGGAGCCAACAGGGAAGATGCTAAATATGAGCCAAGGGATGAAGTTTTTGGTTAGGGATTTCCTTAGCTAGGCCAAAACTCAGTATTTATGTTCAACCAAAAACTTGAGGCTTTATCTGGAATCATGTTAGGATTTGTTTTCTGAGTTTTCTTATATAAGATTGGGGGTCATGCCAGACAGTTGGGTTTCTCATTCTGTCTGACCTAATTGATCAAATTCATCACAATTAAATAATTGCAACTATTTTGTGATATGTACGCATGTGTGTCCGCGTGCATATATATGTGTGTATTTATGTTTCTGTGTGTGTGTTAGATGAGCATCAAACTTCTGCAGCTTGGGTTAGTTTCTTGCGAGATTCAATCCACTGGCACCCCTATATCCATTAATCAGAGTTGTACTGTAAAGCATGAACAAAAGTATAAATGTTTTCAGAACTCTAGAATCAAATCTGATTTTTCTACTAATGATTATGTGGCATTGTTAATTATCATGTATCATTTACTGCCTTGTTACAGAAAGTAAGTATTCCCTAACAAGCTGAACGATGTCTAGGACCTATCTTGAACAGATCTTACATGTTTCTTGCCTCTTAGTCCACAAGTTCGTTGCTCTTAAAGAGAATTGTAGATATTTATATGATGCTCACAGATAACAATCCTCTGATGTGCTAATCTCCCATACGGTACAGCCTGCTTATCTCCTTCAGTAATGTAGTCAAAAGATGGTCTAATTTCTGCTGAAGTTTGCACAAGGGTGCTCTTCTTTTGTTCTTCATGAAGTCAAATTACTTAATTATGATACATAAAGCTTCATACTTCATTCTCAGGATCATGTTAGTCATTATGATTATCCTTTACTCAATATAATGGAACGCCCTTCTTCTTGAACACTGAGGGTGAAATATATTGCCTTCTATCTTTTAGTCTTCTTATTTTGTAATTATGTCTTGTCAGGGGCTCGACTAGTTTTACTAGGAGGAGTTGCCAGACAGTTCTAGCGGAGCACCTTCTTTCATCAGTTCGGATAATTGCTCCAATTTTGCCACACTTGGCTGAGGATGTTTGGCAAAACCTTCCTTTCGAGCATGTTATGGAAGACGGTTCTGTTGCAAGATTTGCTTTTGAATTAAAGTGGCCTGCTGTAAATGAAAAATGGCTTGCAATGCCAATGAAAGATGTTGATTTTTGGAGGACAATTCTTGAGGTATGCAAATGTTTCCTTTCTTCTTGATCTGCGTTATCTTCCATGTCCTTAACGATTTAACCATAACTAGATGCCTCAATTTCTGCTATTGAGTAAAGCGAATTAGTGTTAGAATTTGGGATATAACTAATATGCAATGAAAACTAAAATAAATAGATTTAGATATAAGTTTATCATGTTATTAACTTTTGAAGGTTTAGTGGAATACTAAATCCTTTATTTAATACTAACTCTGAAAATCAACTACAAGTCTACAACAGTATGGACATTCTGAAATCAGGACATAAAGATTTTTATAATTCCTTATGTACAATTAACTAGTAAACCCATCTAAACAATTTTTTAGGTTCTTGACCTTTGTTTCTTTCACTTGATGCACCATATAAATGTCTTTAATAATTGTTTTCCAGTCCTCTTTGACTACATATTGTATCAGCTTTAGTATATTCTCCAAATTACAGAAAATTTGACTCTTTATTGTCAGCTAATGGGTTTTGTAAACTGAAAACAGGTATCCTAGCTTCCCGTGTTACTTTTGCGTAAAGAATACACTAGTTGTCATGCTATTTAGGACCATAATTCATGATTTACTTGAAATTGTGAATAGTTAATGATCAATGGGAAACCCCTATTTTTCTCTCTCTTCTTCCTTTCTTAGCAGAGGTTGTGGAGCAGCAAAAGCCAGCCTCGTCTCCTCTTTCCTTCTGACTTTCCTCTTCTTTTACTCTACAAATGGTGGGGATCTGAGCACGCCCCCATAGTAGCAATCTCACCTAGCAAGTTTATCCTTCATATGTTATAGTAATATTTGTTCACTTGTCAACTTTAAGTTGTCTCGAACAAGATTTAAGCTAGAATGCCAACTCTACACAAGCATTAAGGTTTTGAAAGCTTTGCTGCATCTTTTGATACTAAGGCTGTTTTTGGCAGCAGGAGTTAGCTTAGAGTAAAGGTAATGCTAGTCATTTGCAGGAGAAATCATCAGAGTTAGGAGGTTGAAGATTGTTATAATGTTTTCTGAAAACATTCATGTTAGTAAACCCTGTTTTTGAGAGAGATCCTCAAGTTATTTCCGTCTTTTATGAGTAATTAGTCTGACTCTTTACGGGACATATAAAGATTACCTTCTTATTCTCTTGTAAAAATGTGCAATTCCTTAACTCTTGTAGGCAAACTATGCTCTAAGCGTGGTGGTTCTTCTGAGTTCTTGGGTGGGTAAATTTTGTTGGAGCTGATGGGGTTTGACTTATAAATCTTTCTAGTTAAAGATTATGATGTGTCGTCCAATTGGAGGTCTACATTGTTGATTTCTACATAGAAAATTCCTTAGAACAAAATCAAATGTTTCAAAGGCTTTAAGTATGGCATAATTGTACAACTACAACAACGACAACACTAGCAATTGTAATTTATATAAGTAATTGCAATTGTAACATATAAAAACCAATGGCTGCATGCAGCAGTATATATGATCAAATCATATGGAGCTGCTTAATTGATTCAAAATGGTATTACTATTACAAGTTACATGCTCATATAAAAACCAATGGCTGCATGCAGCAGTGTATATGATCAAATCATATGGAGCTGCTTAATTGATTCAAAATGGTATTAATATTACAAGTTACATGCTCATATAATAATGGAACGCTAATAGAAAGGCAAGTATGACTTTATCATCTATCATTGTTAGTACATGGACTATTATGCATTGTTTCTAATATAAATTTTCAAAATGATATCAACTACAAGTAATGCTTATAACTTTTTTTAAAAAGTCATTGTAACTCTGCCAAGCAATATAACATTACATCTTGTTCTCAGAAGGCTATACATTATGATTATGGGATTTAATCTGTGAGTTAATCTTTTTTGCGTAACTACTACTGATGTTAGATCTTCTTCGACCAGTTGAGATCAGAGGTGAACAAAGTTCTTGAGAATGCACGAATTGGGAAGCTGATAGGTTCCAGCTTAGAAGCAAAGGTCTACCTACATGCTACCAATGCAGCCACTCTATTGAAATTACAGGAGATGTCTAAAGCCGCGAATGATGCTGACCAACTGCACCGTATATTTATAACATCACAGGTAAATCTAAGAATGATCATGTTATGATTCGATATCATATTTATGCTACTTATAAGCATGTTTTACCTTACTACCAAAAGGCGATCCAGAAGTGAGAGAGTTAATTCGAGATAAAGCATATGCATCAAGACTTCAGAATAACATCTAGAAAATGAAAACAGCCTGCATTACAAAATGTTTTTCTTGATGACCTAGTGTGAAATATTGGATCCCAATAGTGGCATGCATGTTTGCTTTCTTGCATATGTTTTTGTGGTATTTCTAGTTACTGAAATCTATTAACAAAATATGAATATTTCATTTCAAGGTAATATATATCAAGATTGATGTTGATAGGGCATACTAAATTCGGTAGTAAAAATGATTTCGAGGCACTAAAACAGGAACATCCACCCCCACCCTCAACCACACGACAAATACAACAAAATAAAAGAACCACCCGCAAAAAGAAAGGGAAGAACAGAAAATGCCAAATTTTCTTTGAATTTTTTTCTGACTGCGCGTGCAATTGTTGTGATGAAAACCTGCAGGTTGAAATTTTGGATTCTTTGAACGACGAAATGGTAGCGGAAATTCCGTATTCTGCTCAGCACAGTGACGATAAAGTAAGCAAGATATGGATCGGTGTAGCCCGTGCTGACGGCAACAAGTGTGAGAGGTGTTGGAACTATTCTTCACAAGTTGGTTCCTTTCCAGAACACCCCACTCTCTGTGCTCGCTGTTTTGATGTTGTTGACATCCAGCCGCTTCCAGCAGTGGCTGGGGTGAGTTGAAGTTCAATATGAAGGAGAAAATCATCTTTATTTACAAATTCATTATGAAAATTGGGGTCAATATCAATCAGATATGACCTCGATCAGTTTTCTGGACTGATTAAATCCCCTTCTATTATCATTGTTTTGTATATTATAAACCTGTAATAATCAGATTCCTCCCCTTTTTTTGGGAACGTACGTAATAGTCCACTGTAATTTGAACTTATTCTAGATGGACGCCATTCTTTCAATTCTGTCGACAGGGATGAAAAGTGTATTGTATCAGCACGAGATAGTAAATCCAACCCATTCATTGCTACTGCTTAACATCTAAGTTAGCGGTAGATCTTTTATTTTCTTTTTCCCTATTACTGCAGCGCTGAACAAGTACGTAGGGAAAACTGGGTTGCATGCATGAATAATTTGGGAGAAATAAGATTTGATAGAATTTTGATCATTCGGCGGAGGTGATATTTCTGTCTTGTGGATTTAGGATATTAGGCCCTAAAGACTTTCATACTTCGCGATTAGTCCCTCGGATCATTGAAGTCTTATATCATACCATTAATACCCTCAACTGAAGGGAATAACTTGAAGGGTTTTTATGATATAAGACCCCCAAAGATCTTCTTATTTCTAATGACCCCGCTCTGGGTATTGTCTAAATAGCACCCGCCCCTCCCCCCCCCCCCCCATCATGTTAAGTTGTTGGGAAACGCCTCGTTAGAAGTAACTATATGTCACTGTATGTGTAAATTTCTGTTTTTGGGATGGACCGTTATGCTCTTGATGGCAACAAGTGGCCAAATTGTTTACCCTTTTCTAATAGCCCCTCATTAGGGCTTGCGTTCTTGGAGTCTTACATTTGAGTCGAAGGGGTTTGGGAGGGTGGGGGGGGAACGGAGAAGGGGGGGGGGGGCACGACTGGATTTTTAAGAGACTGAGTTATTAGAGTTATTGAGCAAGGCTATTATTGTAATTTAATCTACATGGTTAAGGGCTAACCATGGTTGGGTAAGTCATTTGGATGGAAAACATCCATGAGTTTTCAACAACTTACATGTTTTGGGCGGGCTATTTACAAATATCTAGATTTTGGGGGTGTTATTTAGAAATAAGGAAGATTTGGGGGTCTTTATCATCATAAAAACCCTAGTTTGAAACAAGAAATATGGGATCTAGTATTTTCACTGATTTTATGACTACTTTTGATACGATATATATGAATTGGACAGGTAATAGCAATTTCAATGATTTGAGAGACTAATTTCAAATTATAAGTTCTATAGGGGCTAATATCAGGAGCTTTGCTCGTGGAGTTATCAATCGCCCTTTACTCCATTTGAAAAAGTTACTAGATTAACACACCACATGAGACTCGTCTAGACGGTTGAGAGGATTTAATATAGCACTTCTAGTCCTAGGTTCAATTTTGGACTGTTTATTAAAAAAAAGTTACTAGATTAAAATGTAAGACTCGTGAAGATGAAATAGACAGATGTCTTAGCTAGAATCGCATCAAATGAACAAACTAATAATGGTTTAGTAATTTGTTAAATTCTACAGCGAATTGAGATGCAAATGATCGAAGGGAATCTATACTATTTTTAAAAGAGAAAAAAAATGTCAAAACTTTTTCATACCCATTTTGCCCTTTACAAATTTCTTAATTCTAATTTTATCCTTTATGTTTGTCCAACTTTGCCCTTTTTCAGTAATCTTTGTTAATTAATTAATTAAATTAATAGTATTAGTATTATTAATTGTTATTACTAGATTAATTGAAAATCAAAACTTAATTAGCTAGGTACCTATCCTGTCCTATCCTATTTGATAACATCAAACTCTCTTCCTTCCCCTTGTTATCCGTTCTCACCCTTGCGCCTCTACTTCTCCCTCTCTAAATTAATTCGATGCTCGACCTCCTCACCTTGGGTGTGTTTGGATTTCAATGGGGTTAAGGGAAGTTAAGGGAAACTAGGTGAGAGAAGAGAAGGGAAGGGAAGGGAGTTCCCTTCCCCTTTGTCACACCTCAATTTGGGGGGTAACAAATTTTATATATACTATTAGGGGGTGAACTAAGGGGAACTAGGGTGAATAACTTCACCTCCTAAATGTTCCCAAACAAGGTGAATGGTTCCCCTAACTTCCGTTCTCCCTTATTCCCCTCAATCCAAACAAGCCCTTAGGTTCCTCTGTTTCTCAACGACAATCACTATGCCTTAATGATCCTCTACTCCGCCCTTCTCCCGCCCTCTCTAAATTGTTTTCTCCGACCAAACGGATTAATTAGGATGGAGCAGACGGTAGTCACTGGATCCTATTTGCAGGCATAAACAATCTCCATTTGCAAAATTATGTTGCAAATGCAAATTCTTTTAGATAAATGTGACTAGCCTCTTTTAAATTTTTTTTTTCTTCTAATTTTCAGCCGTGCAAGGATGCTCCAACTGTTAGTCTATCTTGCAATGCTTTCTTTTGAATTAATGTTTGTGTTTTGGTTATTCTCAGTAAGCTTATTTTTTTTTTTTCCTTTTTGCTCCCTCAAATAGGCGATAACCTTTTATTCTACCAATAACTTGGTGGTTGAGAACCTGAAGGTGAAGAATAGCCAACAGAGACTTGGCAGGTAATTAAGCAGTTGATTACTACATTGCTGATGCTTCCTCTTTAATTAAAGCATGTAGATGGACGTCGATTCTCAAGAAGACGATCGATTGTCTGATTACCTTTAGTCACCATAGGAAAAATAAGATCAACTTCAAGTGTATGTACTTTGCAATTGTGTATTGTATACATAACTAATTTTTATGTGCACCGAAGGAATTTGTTTGCCATATTTCTTCTCTCATCATTTCGTACTGGTTTAACAGGGAGGAAAAGGCTACGCAAGACACATTCGATTTCGAAATGTCGACATGAAGAATGTACAAAATCCAATATTCATAGATCAAAATTATTGTGACTCAGAAAAACCTTGTTATGAACAGGTAAAAGCCTCACTGCCTCTCTCTCTTCTCTCTCTCCTCTTTTATCTTCTCGCTTCTCTTATACGAAAGTTGTGTATTATGCAGAAATCAGCAATGCTCGTAAGTGATGTCACGTACAAGAACATTAAAGGAACAATTGCTTCAGATACAAAGATCGACTTCAAATGCAGCAAAAGTGTTCCATGCCAAGAGATAACATTGGAGGATATCAATTTAGTTAAAGCAGATGGAGGAATCACAAAAAGTCCATGTAGCAATGTGAGATGGTCACAAAAAGACAAAGCATATACCCAACCTGCCATCCTCAAGAAATGTCCTCATAATCTCCATCAAAGATAACAAAGGAAGCTCCATAAGGTTAGGTGAATTGCTGAACCTAGAAACAACTATGGCTTTTGGAATAAATGTTAAGTTCAAAACTAAAATTTCCTTTGTTCCTTCAGTTCATATACATAATAGAGTTGGTTTATTAAGTTTGCATCGATTCATTTGTTGTTCTATAGCTCAGAGGAAGGAATATCAACACAACAGTAAGTGAACATATTTGATGCCCTTGTTAGTGTAGATGGGGAAGTCACTTGTCCGCTGCATAGCAGGTGTAATTTATCAGAATTTGATTCTTGGATAGCTAAGATGAAATCTGTGTGTATTTGTGCATTCATGACTTGTTTTAAACTCCATACACCATTCCTAGATGTAGCGGAGCAGATCAAGCATATGTCAAAAAATTTTGATTTACTAATTTGTGAGTGCAAGCCCCTATTGACCGAAGTACAACACATAATTGCAAGTTTGTTTTGTCTTTATACCGTTTCTTTCTGTTAGTAACATGTATCTCTTGGACATCTCGTATAGGAGGCAGGTCCTGGTTGATCATAATATCATATAATATCTATATATGAGAAATTGCATGCAACAATTGTGCATTTTTATTTCATTGCTTCTATATGTCTATATTATGCCTTTTCTCAACAGAAAAGTATTTATTAGGGCAATCACTCCTTTGGAATGAGATTATAGATAGTTGTTACAAGTTTTACTAATGGGCATGTGAGGAATTGGTGTAGAGTTCTTGAAATGAAGCATTTTCCTAATTAATTTTGCACTGGAACGTCCACCTATGAAATCATGGGGGTGAGGTGAGAGCATGTTTGCTTCAATCTCAAGAAAGCAAATGTTCGTACCAAATAGGATAATCATATTTCTTTTCATTTTTATGAGATGACATCTATGGCCAAGCGTAACTTGTAGATAGATGTTATTGTTACAAATTTATTCTTGTCTGTATATCATTATCTTTTATTAGGAAAGATAGTTCAAATGAAATCTAACAAATGTTGCAAAGATGTTTTGAATATGAATATCTTCAAAGTAACTAGATCTGGTTTTCGATGGGTAGCGTGATTGAAAAAAGAAAATACAGTGTTAATTTTTACACGACAGGATTATTAGCTTTTAATTTTGGCTTAGTTATAAATCTCCATTGCACTTAGCAAATATACAGCATAAATTTTTACTATGTTGTCTTTGTTCTAGAAGAAAATTTTATGTAATTATATGTGATTGACTCATTGTTTTTGTAGGTTGAAGTGAATGACAAGGAGACTACCACTCTTTATAAGTTCTTGAAATCAAAGAAAATGAGTTTTTTTATGATGGCATCAAGTGGAATTTCACTAAGTTCCTTGTGGACAAAGATGGATAACCGTGGAAAGATATGCACTGACCACCTCACCTTTGAAAATAGAGGTATTACTTTGACAGTGTACTATATAATTTTGCTTTACTTTTATTTTTACTTATTATTGCCACTATACTTTATCTTCCAGAAAATAATACAGAGTCTTTTTGGGGTTGCATAAATTTAAGTGCCTTCTTTGAGGGACTATATTGCCGGTAATGCAAGTATGTGATCTTATATATGAATAAAGGGATGTTTCTTCTAGAAAACTTATATATTGCTAGAAATTCGTTAGCTTCTTGTTGTATGTAAGAAATATTATTTATTTTTAATTATTGGCTATCAACATTAAAGCTATGTTTGCAAGGTTTCATGTTGACTCTTTTTTCCTCTCATTGTATGTATATCGTCATACTAATTGCATACTTTCATCACACGCACCATATATATGGTTGATTAGGTTCCTTCTCTATGGACAATATGTTAGAAATATTAGCTGTTTAGACAATAACGAAAATCAGTTTAAGCAATTTAATAATTAATAGATAATCACTATTATAACACAGATATAAGAAATATATCAAATGAAAAGTAAATAAAGTTAGAAATACGGCCTGATGGTCGAGGCGTGCAAGCACTGTCCCAAGAATCTAATTGCCCCCTCTCGTACAGGGCTACGTGGCAAAAGTTCCCGGAGATACAACGACCATCGGTCAGGCGACATCCTTCTCGTCGCAAAATGTTTATCACGTTTTTAATCACACTAATAAATATTTTCCGTTACAAAATATTTCGGTTACAAAATATTTATCACATGTTAATTGTTCAAAAATAAAAATTATATTTTAATTATTTAAAAATAAAAATGTAGCAGATTAAGGGCCCATTAATCCGGAGCTGCATTCGTGTCCGCAGGTCGTGTGCGCGCGCCACCCGACCCGACCCGAACCCGAGCCCGAGCCCGGCCCGGCCGGCGCGCGCGTGTGTGGTGTGGAGCATAACCTTTGTTTTCTTCTAGGCATAGGAGAGAAAGGGAAGGCTTATAAGGACCCCTTTTTTCTATCCCATTTCCTATGTGGGACTAAACTTTCCCTCTTTTCCTCTACAAAGTCAAGTTTTAAGTTATCTTTTATTATATAATTCCAACAATCCCCCACATAACTTAAAACTTAAAATAGTTCAGAAATAACAATAAAAGAAATAAATACGATTGCTGGTTCCCTTATACTATGTAATAGGTGGAGGTACCTTTCGGTTTGAACCTTCACTTAGTGACAGTTGTATAGATCCGTGAGAGCTTGGTGGACTTCGCCTTGAACCAGTCTCATTTATCGGATTTCTACAGAAAGCACACATAGTACAGTTTTGAAGAATTCTAAACGGGTTGCGCTATTATCGGCCTTGCGCAGGTATCTTTCATGTGTGTTACTAGGGAGCAGCCCTGATCCCATAGTCGCGGCCTCACAACTACACACATATAGGTGAATCCTAATAAGGATGCGAGCAAGTAAGCATCCTGCCTCATGGGTCTTGGATTCATTAAGAGTTAGACTCAACCTTTCACTTGCTTTTTATGAGCACTGATCATCCTAGGGATGGGAGCAAATAAATTCAGTGCTCCTCACAATTAATCACTCATTCAGTTTGTTTCTACCCATTGAACCTCTGCGAGGTTGGGTTGCCACTGCAGTGATTTTTCTTATGGGCTTAACCCCATCCCCCTCGATGATTCTAGGACCACTGCCCTAGATAAGCCTTTAGTTAAGTGATCTGCAAGATTTTTCTCTGATCTTACAAAATCTAAGGCTATTATATGGTTTTTCATCTTATATCTCAAGGATTTATGTCGCACTTTCAAGTGTCGATTCATCTTCACATTTGCATTCTCTTGATGGCATTTGTCAATCGCTGACCTGCAATCACAATGAATAGAAATGGCTGGTAATGGTTTTTGCATTAGTGGAATTTCAGTTAGTAAATCTTTCAACCATTCAGCTTCTATACTAGTAGTATCAAGAGCTATCATTTCTGATTCCATTGTACTTCTAGCCATTACAGTTTGTTTAGTAGATTTCCAGGACACAGCTCCTCCTCCTAAAAGGAACACAAATCCTGTGGTGGATTTTACATCTACTGAGTCACTAATCCAATTTGCATCTGAATAACCTTCTAGTACAGATGGATAACCTTTATAGTGTAAACCATAATTCATAGTTCCTTTTAGGTATCTCAAAACTCTTTCTAGAGCATCCCAGTGACTCTTATCAGGATTTGATGTATATCTACTAAGTCTATTTACTGCATAAGCAATGTCAGGTCTGGTGTAGTTTGTTAGGAATCCTAGTGATCCAATTATTTGTGCATATTCTCTTTGTAATTGAGGATGACCTGTATTTTTCTTTAGATGTACATTAGGATCATATGGAGTGGAAACAGGTTGACAGTTTGGATCATAAAAATTCTTAAGGATTTTCTCTATGTAGTGTGATTGTGATAGCACATATCCATTCTCATTTTTCATGATTTTAGTATTAAGAATTAGGTCAGCTTGACCTAAATCTTTCATGTCAAAATTTTGTGATAAAAAGTGTTTGATATCATTTATGATTTGTATGTCAGAACCAAAAATAAGAATGTCATCAACATATAGGCATAATATCACAATTTTGTTGTTTTTATCTATTTTATGATATACACACTCATCTGTTTGATTAATTACAAATCCATAAGATAGTATAATTTCATCAAATTTCATATGCCATTGTTTTGGGGCTTGTTTGAGACCATATAGTGATCTAATAAGCTTGCATACTTTCTTTTCTTGTCCAGAAGCTATAAATCCCTCAGGTTGATCCATATAAATTTCTTCATCTAAGTCTCCATTTAAAAATGCAGTTTTAACATCCATTTGATGTATTATTAATTTGTGAATGGATGCTAGAGCTATGAGGACTCTAATGGTAGTAATCCTAGCTACTGGAGAATAGACATCAAAATAATCAATACCAGACTTTTGGGTATATCCTTTAGCTACTAATCTGGCTTTATATTTATCTATTGTTCCATCAGGTCTAAGTTTCTTCTTAAACACCCATTTACATCCTATGGTTTTACATCCTGAAGGAAGATCAGTTAGTTCCCAAGTATGATTTTGAACTATAGATTGTATCTCATTATTTATAGCTTCCTTCCAAAATGGAGCATCTACTGATTTCATTGCATCTTCAAATGTAACTGGAGAATCTTCTACAAGTAATGCATAGAAATCTTCATGGACCTTTTCTATTCTAGTTCTTTTACTTCTCCTAGGCTCCTCTGGACTTTCTAGTGGTCTAATTTGTTTAGAACTAGTTTCACCTTGATTAGAACTAGGATCTGAATTATTAGAGCTAGGGCCTGTGTTGTTTATTCTGGTCTTGTAAGGAAAAATATTTTCAAAGTAATGTGCATCCCTAGCTTCAATTATGGTGTTGTTGGCTATCTCATTAATGTCAGAGTTGATTATTAAAAATCTATTTGCATTACTATCAGAAGCATAGCCAATAAAAATTCCATCTACAGTTTTAGGGCCAATCTTCTTTCTTTTA